GACGATGATTACGAACCAGAAGAAGGCGATGGAGCAACCTGGGGATCCGCCACTGGAGCATGGGGAGCTAGCGCCACCGGCGCAGTCACCACAGGAGGATGGGGCAACACCGGCGGATGGGGAGAAGACGAATACGCGGATGCTCCGCTCACCAAAGAAGAAGAAGAAGAGATTGAACGAGAGATGAGGGCTGAGCGCGGAGAAAAATCACCTCGCGTCGCCATTCCACTCGGACGACCCCCGCGCACCCGCTCACCTCCCTCCTCCCCCTATCGGTGGCGTGATCGATGGTCGGAGATTGAGGAGGGGAATGTACCGCCAAATCCTCCGCGGGACTCACTTGGTCCAATCTCCCGCCCAGATCCGTTCGCTCGATTCATTGAAGGCACCACCACTCCGCTCACCATCATCCCCGACCGCGAATTTCTCCCCCTCTACCTCACAACGGCACCTGCAGAAGGAGAAACAACGGGGGAAGCGGAAGCAGAAGCAGAGGAGCCGGACAACGAAGCAGAACCAGGAGAAGAGGAAGAACCTCCACTCCAGATCCCGCAAGTCACGGAAGCAGAAGCGGCAGAATACCTTGCACGCTATAAGCGCACTTCCGGCATCCGCGCCGAATATGATCTCTGGCACCAGCGGCTGGGACACCCCTCGCGCCAGACCCTCGCCAACTGCCTCCGCGCTAAAGTTTTTCCGCCAGGAGCACTGCTGCGCCCCGACGGAACGGAACCGCACAACACCCCTCACCCAGTCACCTGCACTGTCTGCCCCACAGCCGCGCTCACCCATAGCGCCTACCCCTCCCTGGAGCCAAGCACCAACCGCTACAAGAAGTTGGAGAAAGTATACAGCGATTTCATCGTGCTCACCTTCGACGGCATCAACGGCGAGAAATATACCCTCACCTTCATCGACGCCTACTCGCGCCATGTGTGGATCGCCAACGTCGACGCTCGCTCCAAAGCTCCGGAAGTGTTCCGCATCTTCCTCGCGCACGCGCAGCGACAGTCAGGAAGGAAGCTGAAGATCTGGCAAAGTGACGGGGCCAAGGAATTTCGCAGCAACGAGCTGGAGAGTGTTCTTACAGAAAAGGGGATCAAGCATGAGATCTCACTCCCCTACGCTCACCACCAGCAAGGCGTCGCAGAGAGGGTTAACCGCACCCTCATGACAAAATTCCGCGCCCTCATGAACCAGTCCGGCCTACCCAAGAAGTTTTGGCCTTACGCCATGAACCACGCGGTGCGCCAGCACAACCTACTCTCCACCACCGCCAACAGGGACAACCTGTCCCCTCACATGAAGTGGACCGGCTCAAGGGGAGACCCCTCCATGCTCAGGGTCTGGGGGTGCATGGTGCAATATCGGCCGACCTTGGCCACAATCGGCAAATTCGTTCATCGCGCACGCTGGGGTATTCACTTGGGCCTCAGTAATGAGCACAAGGGTTGGCTCATCCTCGACATGGACAGCAAGGAGGTTGTTCCCGCGCGCGATATCCTCTTCTACGAGCGGCTCACCTTGAAGCAGTGGATCGAGGACAAGCGGCGCAACGAAGCACGCGGCTACATCAACAGCGGTCGCAGCTTCGCGACTCCAGAAGACGAGGCAGCAGCAACAGCACTGGATCGCGACGACACCGACGAACATCCCAGCATCCCGCCTCGCCCGCGCGACGACGACGATGACGATGACAGATATGACAATCCCGCGCCAGGTCCATCACGGCGCCAAGCAGAGGCAAGCACCACAACACCCGGCCACGAGAGCGGAGATGACGACGTGGTGGAAGTTCCCACCAACACAGACACCACCAATGTGTCCGGCCTACAACTACTCGGCCTACACACGTCCGTCACTACTCTCGCACGGGCCGCGGAACCAAAGAATCCTCGCCAGGCTCTGACCGGTCCTCACACCAAGGAGTGGCGTGCAGCGATGGATGCGGAGCTGAAAGCACTGGAATCTCGAGACACGTGGGTCCTAGTCGATCGTGCAGCAGTGAAGGGGAGAAGGGTACTCAGCGGAAAATGGGTTTTTCGCCTGAAGACTAACGCTGACAGAACCATCGAGCGGTTCAAGGCACGTTGGGTCGTACGTGGGTACGATCAGCGCCACGGCATCGACTTTGACCAGACCTTCGCTCCCGTCAGTCGCCACACCTCCGTCAGAATCCTACTCGCCATTGCCGCCGCTAAGCACCTACCACTGCGACAGATCGACGTGAAAAACGCGTTCCTATACGCGTTGGTGGATGCTACCATCTTCGTGGAACAGCCGCACACCTACGGAGAAGGTGATCCCAGGGTCTGTCAACTGAAGAAGTCCCTCTACGAGATCAAGCAGGCGCCTCGACTCTGGCAGCAGCATCTGCACAAAATTCTCCTGGAGATCGGTTTCAAGCAGCTGCCGCACGACCCGGGAATGTATCGCCTTCACTTCAGCGGTGATTACATCCTCCTGACAGTCTACGTCGACGACCTGCTGTACACAGGCACCTGCAACAAACTCCTTAACCAGTTTGAGGAGAACCTGGCGCAGCGCGTGGACATCACCATCAACCACGACGTGAAGCAGTTTTTGGGGCTGAACATGACCTACGCGCCAGAAGCAATTCACCTGTCAGCATCAAAGTACGCAGAGCAGCTGGGGGGACGCTTCTACATCTCACCCGCACCACTCTCAACTCCCTACCGCAACCCCAGCGCCAACTACAAACCGGACAACAAACCTCTGTCACCCGCAGGACTCCAAATGTACCAGCAGAAGTTGGGGTGCCTGCTATTCGCCTCGGTCACCTGCCGACCCGATCTCTCGTACATCGCTAGTCAACTGGCGCAGTATTCTCGCAAGCCAGTAGCAGAGAACCAGCTGGACCTGGAGCGCGCCCTGCAGTACTTCATCTCCACACCTGGCATCGGGCTCTCCTACTCCACGCTGACGACGACCTCCTTCAACCTCAACGGCTACGTGGACGCAGATAACGCAGCTGATCCTGCAAATCGACGGTCCCGAACGGGCTTTGTTTTTCGCCTGGAACCTACTGGGCCAATCTCCTGGAACTCACAGAAGCAGGAGCTGGTTGCCCTGTCATCGGCTGAAGCAGAATACATCGCCGCGACAGCAGCAGTTCGCGAAGGCCTGTATCTGCAGGAGCTGCTACAGGAGGCGAAAATTCCAACTTCGCCAACCTTTCGCCTCCACTTCGACAACCAGAGTGCCATCAGGATCGCGAACAAGCCAGGTTTCGTGAACCGCACGAAGCACATCGCACTCCGGTACTTTTTCGTCAAGGACGAAATTGACCAAGGAAAAGTTGACCTCGCCTACTGCCCGACTACTGAGATGGCAGCAGACTTCCTCACCAAGCGCCTGCCACGTCAGCAGTACAAGCACTGCTCTGACCTCACCGGAGTAGTCAAGCGAGTCAGCTCCTCCTGCGCCCAGGAATGAAGGGGGGTGTTACGATATGAAATTGCATGAGTAGACATTCCTGTATGCTGCAGGAGCCGACTCTACCGAGTACGAAGTCGAGGAGTCAGAAGAGTCGAAGCGACGCAGCAACCGTCTGACCAAGACCGATGCAGGCAGAAACATTTGAAGTGAAAAGAGCGGGAACAGGTTTGAAACGGGTTCCCGCGCCGCACGGTTTGAATTTAGAATAAGGGAATGTACCCCTTAGAGTACATGGCTAGTCTAGGTCTTTTCGTATTCCCCTGTACTCTTATATAAACCCGATGTATGCATGCTTTTATCAACTCAGTCATTTACATTCACTCTGACATGAGATTCGAACTTCCGCTGCAACACTACTCTGCGATCAACCCTGAGCGATCCTTCGCTAAGTCCCACTTGGGATTGTAACAATAACCATACATAAATGCCACGCTTACGCTACGCTTAGGCGAAGGATATACTAAATGGAACAGCCATATCTAACTAGTAATTCGCCAATCTAGTTACAATACACCTCCACAAATGCAACGCCTGCTGGCTGCAGCCCTGCTGACCAGTACCTACCCTATGCCTGCTGCACATGCACAACCTCCAGTTGTAGCTGCTGTTCCCTTGATCAATTCCAGTATGCCTGGAGGCTGTTCCTGCTTTACACCTGCACCATTAGAGTCTAGACACAGACCTTGCTGTCCCCATTAGCCTGCCCCTTCAGCAGTGGCCCCTCCTGACTTCCTGCTTGCCAGGCCCTCAGATAGGTTTGAGGGTATGCTGATGGATCAGCGTGCCCCGGCCGCCCAGGTGTCCAAATCAGCGTTCATGGTTCTGTTTATACTGATTTTGTCAGTGTAAAAATTCTTAGTATACTGAACCATCAGTGTAAAAAACAAGGTGATAGTGGGCAGTCGTGAACAAGGTTAAAACGGAGTGTTGTGCAGCAGCGTCACCAGAGCTGTTGTGTTGTGATAGGTAGTTTCCAGCGAGGCAAAACGGTTTGACGCGCACCAGCTGTCTGTACAGCGCATGGGAAAAAAATCCAAGTGTGGGTGGGGTTTCGTGAATCACGGGAAGGTACAGACTGTACACGCGTACCCTGTCCTCACCCCCCCCCCCCCCCCCCCCCCCCTCCCTCACGCGGTCAAGTTCGTTTCAGTGTGACTCACATCACTATACTGATTCGTCAGTGTTACTTGTACAGAAACACGCAAAATGGTCAGTGTGACAAGATGGTCAGTGTTACTTATACTGAAATTTCAGTGCAAAATTGAAGCATATGCTGAATTCTCAGGGAAAACGAAAATCACAGCTACAAAATCAGCCTAATCAGCGTGTTTTACGCTGATATCTGAGGGCCTGCTGCTTGCTGCTCTTGCTGTACCAATACCGGTAGTTGTCAAGGCTGCACCCCACTTCCATGCAAAGCAGAAATGCTTAAGTGGAAAAACTTTGTCATAAACAACACTCCGGTTAGAAGCTCATAATCATACGCTTGACTTTAACAACAAAACGCTACATACAATGTGGGAAACACCATACAGCTAAAGCTACAGTCTCCGTAGGCTCTTCTTTCTCAAATCAGCCTTCTTGTCCGTCCCACCCCGGCCCGTGTTCTCTCCCTTCCCTTTAGCCTTCACCACACCACCACCCGTGCTTGATGCTGCCACAGGCTCCTCCACAGCTGCTGCTGCTGAGCCGTTTCCGGCCTTTGCTTGCAGTCTCGAGTCAGCGTTTGCAAGTGACCGATTAGTTGCAAGGGGCGTGTGATGGGCTGGTGAAATACCAGCAGTGCCAGCCGGATTTTTGCCACTGGTAGGATCAACAGATGAGGCAGAAATGGAAGTGATGGGAAGGGCTGGTGGGGTGCTGCTGCTGGAGTCTCGAGAAATCACTGCGGTGTCAGTGTCAGTGGCAGCAGCACCAGCACCAGCAGCAGGAGCGGGAGTGGGAGTGGCAGTGGGAGAGACAGCAGCATCAGGAGCAGCAGCAGCATAGCCAGAGTCTGAAAGCAGGGCAGCTGCTGTTGCCGACTGTGTGCATGCTCTCTGCAGGTTCTTGCTGGCGTGATCATCCGCCCCCTGCCGTTCCTTCTCATGCTGCTGCTGCTGCTGCTGCGGTTGCTGCTGCTGAGCTTGCTGCTTGGCTTTCCCAGCAGAGGTCAGGGCGGAGGAGGCGGCAGGGGTGGCATGGATGGATGTGAACAGGCGGGCATGGCGGGCATACGCGTTATAGTCCTCCAGAAGCAGCTTTCCTGCGTCTTCGTTAAGAGCAGACTTGGGATAAGGTTCAATCAGCAGGCAGCGCACCACCTGCATTGGCCCAAACGGACTAGAGAGAATGTAAGGGCACTTGACAGCATTAGATTACCAAGAAGCAGCACTGAGGGCACAAACACATCCAAGACCAAGAAATGGCATCCCTTTAAATCTCTGTATCGCTGCAAGCCGGCCACACCAAGTCAAACCAAATTATATCGAGTCAAACCGAAGTGAATGGAACGTACAGTCCACCCAGCTCACCAGCTACACGTGTTTGAGTTGAGGGTGGCTTTCCAGTTCCTCTAGAGAACAAACCAATCGAATCAGAATAGAATCAAATCAACCGTTCCAGCTTACCAGCAGCACGTGTTTGAGTCCAAGCGAGGCTTTCCAGTCCTTCTTGAGCACGCTCACGCAGATCTCGCCGCTCTTGGCCACGTTGGGGTGGAAGATGCGCGTCAGGAAGAAGCCTGCAGAGAATTGTGTGGAGGATGGAGTAGAATAAGGGGGATCGAAGGGGGATTGAGGGGGCGACTGGAAGGAGCGATTGAGGGGTGGTTGGGAAGTGACTGAGATGGAATATGTGGCCCCGAGAGGCCTGTGGGCGGGGGAAGCCTGTGTAAGTACACTCTTTCAGGGGAGGCGTTGAGCGTGGGATAGGATTGTCACCTTTGGGGGCGGCGTTGGGGAAGTCGCGCCCGAGCAGCAGCTTCATGCGGAACAAGAGCGGGGGTTGGTTCTAGAGGGGAGGGGATCGATGGAGATAGACAGCGGGAACGAAGGGCACGGATTACCTTTAGGGGCGGCGTGGGGGAAGTCGCGCCCGAGCAGCAGCTTCATGCGGAACACCCCGCCCTCGTACGGCGTGCCCTCTGCGCATCCGATAAGGGGGTGGACGGGGGGACGGGGGAGGAGGAGGAGGGGAAGGTTGGGTAAATGGAAGTGGAAGGGCGAAAGGCGAAAAACATGCCCTCAGAGCAAAAAACGTGCGTAACGCAAAACATAAGACCATGGGTAGAGCACGCGAGTGGATTACGAGAGGTACATGAAGGTAGTACGCTACGCATTACGAGAGTTATTTCATACGCTGCAGCCCTGTAGTCTGTTACCTCACTCGCTAACCGGCGTGGGCTCACCAGGGCCGTCGATCTCAGCATGGACGGTTGCGATGTTGTCGTCGTGGACCGTCACCCGGATACCGTCCAGCGCGCTCTGCTGCAGCGCCTTCAGCTCCCGCGCCACCTCGCGCGCCACGCGCGGAGGGAAGGGCGCGCCAGCAGCGCTCGACTAGGGAGGGGGAAGAGGGAGGGAGCGGGATGCGGGGAAGGGGGGTAAGAAAGGGTTGTTGGCGGTTACTGGATGCGGATCAGCGCCTTCAGCTCCCGCGCCACCTAACGCGCCACGCGCGGGGGGAGCGGCGCGCCAATGACACTTGCCTGGAAGGAGTGGGCAAAAGCGAGGCAGGCGGCGGGCAGGCGGAGGGGGCAGGGGGCAGGGGAAGGGAGAGAGGGCGTGTGTGGGGGGGGGGAGGGGGGGAGGGGAGGGAGAAGTGGGAAGGTTAGCGTGTGGGCGTGTGGAAGGCGCGGGGGAGGTTGGCGGTCGGTGGATGCGGAGCGGCGCCCGCAGCACCCACAGCTCCCGCGCCACCTTGCGCGGAGTAAGCGGACTGAATAGGCGCTCGTTATGTCAGGGCGATAATGAGAGCGGCACGCCTTCTTGACGCACTTACGTTCCGGGGCTGCAAGCGCACCCCAGAAAGCGGGACAGGCGGACTGCATGGCTCGCGTCATACGATACCTGACATCTCGCTTCACTCACCATTCGTTCGCCGGTCTCGAGGTTTGACCAGTATGGATAGAGGTATGGTCAGAGCTCCTTCTATGTGGTCCTACTGTATTTGGACCAGTGACTAAACTGCACGTCGTAGGCGCGCCGACTATTTATCGGAATAACAACAGGCTTCTAATAGCGCGTATGCCGTTTACTGTCGCTGTATTTTCGCACCATGGCCTTGTCACGTTCGTACTTTCCCGCGTCTAAGCTGATTCACATTACGAGGGACACGATAGCGTGAGAGACGCTAAGAGCTTCCTGTTCTGCTTGACAGTTTCGCTAATGAATATGAAATTGCCCGTGGGGGAAAGAGAGAGAGCGAGCAGTGTGGTGGTGGTGAGTCGTGGTGGCAATGGAGCAAGGACAAAGGCAAGATGACGTTTATTGTCGCGATGAGGCGAGTTGGGTAGAGTCAAGAAGAGAGGGGAGAGGTGGGATAGGAAGAAGCAAGGGTGCAGGGAGCGTGGCTAACTGGAGGCGCGCCCAGGGTGGTCCGAACCGAAGCGTCGTCGTCACGCCGCAACAACCTTGCCCACGCCACACAAACGGAAGCTAGGTACGCACCGAGCCTACGGGGAAGTCAGGGGGAACAGTAGGGGGAAATTATGAAACTTGCGCCTGTCATTTTGATTGATTGAGGGAGGAAAGCGGAGCGCAATAGGGGGCGTAATTTCGAAGCTGGAGAACGCATTTTGGCCCGTGGTTGCGGGAGAGGGGTTGGCTTGGGGAAATTGGCCCGTGTTATCGAGGCGCGCTTTGCGCGGCTCGATTTGGACGGCTCGCGTTCTCCAAACAGTGCCTGCGATTGCATCACGTTCGTAGCAGGAAATATGGATTTCAGAGAGGAAAATGTGACTGCACGAGGATATGAACTCAGGACCACTGAACCCTCCTATCGAAGAGTGCAATATCAAGCACAAAACCATCTATTGGAGGAACCGAGACTTCACGAGGATCTTATACAAGTGTATATATATCGAACAGAAATGTACTGACGCGTGTTCCGTTCGCCAATATCTTGACAAACAGAAACCAACCCCAAGAACAGGACAGTCAACCAATCGCAATGCCACCAGCAGGTCAAGCCCCAGTGGAATTCCAAAAGATCTCCCACAAACTGCCAGTCAGCCAGTCTCCAGTAGGAACCAAGTGCGGAGGCGGCACCGGACGAAATAGTGGCTAGGCTGGAGTTAGGCTTTGTCATGACTTGACAGAGGACTGGAACATCTTAGTTGGTAGGCTGTCGTTCCTAAAGTTTGTCCTTGCGTGCTCATACACCTCGCATTGCATCTGGTTCCATGAAATGCACTCAGTCCAGTCCAGACCATGTTACACCTTAGGAATCATAACCATCGATTTATTTGAGAATTTGAGAAACCTAGTCACTTGCGACGCGCGTACGTTTGCGTGTTTCTTGACCGTTAGCATGGTGCTTCCCACAACGAATGTGCGTACTTTCGGGAACGCGTATCGGAAGCTGTCATACAGGAACCTTTCCGCACGACCCGCCTGTAATGTTTAATAACATGGCTTGAAACGACAGGATACCGCAGCGCATGACATAAACACGACATTACACCACAGTGGATGACATGATACAGGTTCAAACGACATAACTCCATCCAGAATGTCCTGATTTGACGAAACATGGCACGACGATGGAACATGGAACGACAACGGAACATGGCAAAGCGACGAAACATGGCACGGCACGGTTCCTGAAGCCGCTGATCCGGTCCAATCACACGCAAGCCTTGTCGTGCCGGCGATGGCGCTGTCGTTCTTCCGAGGGTTCTTCAAAGGAGGGCTGGTGGAGGAGGACTTAGATGCCTTCTATCCCGTGCGCCAGGACGTGCAGGTCGGCACCGTCAGCAAGTTCCGACCACGGGTGAGTTCCACCAAGTGCGGGTGAGTCAGGTTGCTTGGGACTGCTCAAAACAGACTCACTGTCGCCTGGAAGCATGCTACCCCGTGCACCAGGCGTGCGGGTCGGCAGCGTCAGCAAGTTCTGACTGCGGGTGAGTCAGGGAACAAGTATTCTTTGAGAAATTTCCATAGACACTTCGTGCCAGCCTGTGTGCCAGGAGCGTCAGCACATCCCAGTCAGCACATCCCAGTCAGCACATCCCAGTCAGCAAGTTCCGAGCTTGAATCAGTCAGCAAACTTTGACCTCGGTGGAGTGGGTGGGTCAGGGAACAAGCAAGCACCGCTTTCCTTGCGTTGTGGATCTTCCACCTCTCGCTTTTGCGACCAACTATGCCTTCCTATCGCTACCCTTGGCAACCAACATTTGCTGTCTATCACTCCGCTCCTACACCCCTCCTTCTCCCACTCCCCCTCACGGCATGGTGTGGCATGTTCCAATGTCTGATGGCACGGCATGGCATGGCATGGCACGGCACTGCATGACATGGCGTGACATGGCCGGTCTGTGCAATGCAGGCGAGCAAGCGGCTGTCGGAGGAGAAATGGAGCGACATGTTTGACGCAGAGGGGCGCATGGTGAACCTCGAGGCTGCTCTTCGCCTCATACAGCGAGGGGTATGTATGTGTCGTGCTGAGGCGGTATGCATGTTGGCTAATCTGCTTGAGTGCTCTCACTCAAGGATGGATTCTGTGCGCATGGTGAACCTCGAGGCTGCTCTCCGCCTCATACAGCGCGGGGTACGTATCATGCCGAGGGTATGTGTCATGGTGCGGGGAGTTCACCTCGCATGGTGAACCTCGAGGCTGCTCTCCGCCTCATACAGCGCGGGGTACGTATCATGCCGAGGGTATGTGTCATGGTGCGGGGAGTTCACCTCGCATGGTGAACCTCGAGGCTGCTCTCCGCCTCATACAGCGCGGGGTACGTGCCAATGCGGCATGTGTCATGCCAGGACGGCATGTGTCATGCCTGTTGTGTCTGGTTAGCCCTGGAGCCACGAGTGCAGAGTGCGCCAAGCTTAGCAAAGAGGCATGAATAGAGAGGCTAACCCTAGTGATTGTACAGTGTACCCCTTGCCTCCTCTCGCCCCTTCCCCTTTGTTTCTCCCAATGTAACCCAAACCCCCCAGGGCTGTGAGCCGGGCATCCGGCCGGAGGTGTGGGAGTACCTGTTGGGGCTGGTCAGCCCGGCAGCCACGAGTGGCGAGTTTAACGAGCTGAGAGGCATGCGCAGGGAGGCTTATGCTGCTCTGCTTCCAACCCGTTCCCCCTCTCATTTCCGCACAGCTGTTTCCCCACTTATACCCCTCTCTCCCTCAGGGGTGCGAGCCGGGCATCCGGCCGGAGGTGTGGGAGTACCTGCTGGGGCTCGTCAGCCCGGCAGCCACGAGTGGCGAGTGTGGCGAGCTGAGGAGCATGCGCAGGGAGGCCTATGCTGCGATGCTCAAGGAGTGCCAGCTCGTGGACCCGGTCATTGGCAGTGGCTTCGTGGTCGATTTTCCCAGAGTGCAGGTGGGTGCAGAGCGGTGGAGTGCAGGGAAGAAGGGTGCAGAGGGGTGGAGATGGGTGCAGAGGGGTGGCATGACAGAGGAGGGGGTGTGTGCTCGCTGCTCAGGAAGTTCCAGCTGGTATACCCGGTCAATGGCAGTGGCTTTGTGGTCGACCTTCCCAGAGTGCAGATGGGTGCAGAGCGGTGGAGAAGGATGGCTGGACATGGGTGCATGTTTCCCTCCCTCTCCCCTCTTCCTCCCCCCATGCCCCCCAATGCCAGGACGATGGCACAGGGGTCGATCTCCCAGACTCCTATGCCGGCCCGCTGCGCCTGGTGCCGCCCATCCCGCCCCTCTCCTCTCAACGCCCCCTGTTTCCCTTTCCCATCTCCCACCTCCCGCTCCCTTCCTCCCAGGACGATGGCACAGAGGTCGATCTCCCAGACTCCTATGCCGGCCCGCTGCGCCTGGTGCCGCCCATCCCGCCCCTCTCCTCTCAACGCCCCCTGTTTCCCTTTCCCATCTCCCACCTCCCGCTCCCTTCCTCCCAGGACGATGGCACAGAGGTCGATCTCCCAGACTCCTATGCCGGCCCGCTGCGCCTGGTGCCGCCCATCCCGCCCCTCTCCTCTCAACGCCCCCTGTTTCCCTTTCCCATCTCCCACCTCCCGCTCCCTTCCTCCCAGGACGATGGCACAGAGGTCGATCTCCCAGACTCCTATGCCGGCCCGCTGCGCCTGGTGCCGCCCATCCCGCCCCTAGACGCCGCCTGGGAGGAGACCGGAGCACAGCTGGGGGTGCTGGAGGAGGGGGAGGAGGAGGAGGAGGGGGAGGGGGAGGGGGGCGAAGTGGAGGGAGGTACAACTGACAGTGGTGGCGGTCGTTGTGATGTTGGTGGTGGTGGCAGGGTCAATGGCGGTGGTGGCAGCAGCAGGAGGGGTCGACGGGCGAGTGAGAACGAGGTGGATGAGGCGATGAGGACGTGGGCGGCGGAGAGGGCAGAGGTGGTGGCGCGAGTAGGGCTGGATCGAATCCACAAGTGGCGCCAGGGGCTCTATCAGATAGGTCAGCATTCGGGTGAAATGTAGCGTCTTTTGGGTTGAACCAGATTGACATATGCGTGAACCAAATGCTGTACGATTCAAGGCAGAGGTGGTGGCGCGCGTGGGGCTAGATCGAATCCACAAGTGGCGCCAAAGGCTCTACCAAATAGGTTGGTAAAGGCCTACACCAAGAAAGATAATTACACAGGTGAAGTGGCACCAGGGGTTTTGCCAAATAGGTCGGCAAACATGGGTATTGAGATGGCTGGATCGGAATTCTCATTTGTCATCCTCCACCCTAACACGCCTCAAGATTTCTATCACCACCATCTGTCACTGTTGCCAGCGCAAGTATCCCACATCTTTGCCCAAATCCCGTCCCGAATCCCTTCCCAAACTCCTTCTCCCATCACCCTTGCCCCATTCCCTCCCCGAGCCCCTCCCAGTTCCCTCCCCATGTCCTGTACCCCATCCCCTCCCCACACCCCCTTCCCTCCCCCCGTCTCCGCTCAGGAGTAGACGTGACCCGCGCCGACCGCTCGCTGCTCTTCTTTGAGAGCGGCTGCAGCAGCGCGCGCCTGATGAACGTGCTGGCGGTGTACGCGCGGTTCGACCCTTCTCCCCCCCTTTCGCTACCCCCCTTATCCCTCCCTCTCCCTGCAGGAGTGGATGTAACGCGGGCGGACCGCTCGCTGCTCTTCTTTGAGAGCAGCCGCAGCCGAGCGCGCCTGATGAACGTGCCGGCGGTGTATGCATTGTTCGACTCCTCCAACTCCCCTTAACCCATCTCCCCACAGGAGTGGATGTAACGCGGGCGGACCGCTCGCTGCTCTTCTTTGAGAGCAGCCGCAGCCGAGCGCGCCTGATGAACGTGCTGGCGGTGTACGCGTGGTTCGACCCCGAGGTGGGGTACTGCCAGGGCATGAGCGACCTCATGTCTCCCATGGTCGTCCTGTACCCTGACGACGCGGATGCCTTCTGGGCGTTTGAGCGGCTCATGAGGAGAGTGGTGAGTGCGTCTGGTTTGATTGGTTGGCAGCAGCGTGTTTGGGTGTGTGGTGTGGTAGGAAGGTACTGCCAGGGCATGAGCGACCTCATGTCCCCCATGGTCGTCCTGTACCCTGACGACGCGGATGCGTTTTGGGCTTTCGAGCGGCTCATGCGGAGAGTGGTGAGTCAGGAGCAGAGGTGACTTACCTCTTGTCGCACACAGTCCTGCCTTTCCCTTGTGGCGCTCGTGCCTTGTTGTGAGCGTGCCAGCAGCGCCTGATGAACGTGCTGGCGGTGTACGCGTGGTTCGACCCCGAGGTGGGGTGCTGCCAGGGCATGAGCGACCTCATGCCCCCCATGGTGCTGCTCTTTTCCAACAACACTGATGCATTCTTGGCGTTTGAAATTCTCATGTGGAGAGTGGTGAGTGGTTATCGTCTGGAGTCTGGATTGGAGTCAAGCTCGTATGTTACACACTTGTTGCTCTTGCCCCGCCCGCCTATTCCTGCCGCCTCCTCTGTGCTTCCACTGTCGGGAAGAGGGAGGACTTATAAACACAGACACGGGGCTGGGCATTCAGAGGGAGATGCGCCTGTGGAAACAAGCACCTCACATTCTCAGAACGTACCTTGCATCTGTTGCATACCTATCCCACCTTTCTACTTTTGGCCCCAGAGAGAGGACTTTATGAACACGGACACGGGGCTGGGCATTCAGAGGGAGATCAGCCGCCTCTCCCACATGGTCTACACTCTCGACCCCGAGCTGCATGCACACTTGGGTGAGTGTGTGTTTGCACACACGCTTATGCTAGCTGCACGTGCACCCCCCACTTCCGCCTCTCCCACATGGTCTACACTCTCGACCCTGAGCTGCACGCGCACTTGGGTGAGTGTGTGAATTCACTCATGCGAGCTGCACGTCCCCCCCCTCCCCCCAACATCTCTCTCCCACATGGTCTACACTCTCTACCCTGAGCTGCACGCGCACTTGGGTGAGTGTGTGAATTCACTCATGCGAGCTGCACGTCCCCCCCCTCCCCCCAACATCTCTCTCCCACATGGTCTACACTCTCGACCCTGAGCTGCACGTGCACTTGGGTGAGTGTGTGAATTCACTCATGCGAGCTGCACGTCCCCCCCCTCCCCCCAACATCTCTCTCCCACATGGTCTACACTCTCTACCCTGAGCTGCACGCGCACTTGGGTGAGTGTGTGAATTCACTCATGCGAGCTGCACGTCCCCCCCCTCCCCCCAACATCTCTCTCCCACATGGTCTACACTCTCTACCCTGAGCTGCACGCGCACTTGGGTGAGTGTGTGAATTCACTCATGCGAGCTGCACGTCCCCCCCCTCCCCCCAACATCTCTCTCCCACATGGTCTACACTCTCTACCCTGAGCTGCACGCGCACTTGGGTGAGTGTGTGAATTCACTCATGCGAGCTGCACGTCCCCCCCCTCCCCCCAACATCTCTCTCCCACATGGTCTACACTCTCTACCCTGAGCTGCACGCGCACTTGGGTGAGTGTGTGAATTCACTCATGCGAGCTGCACGTCCCCCCCCTCCCCCCAACATCTCTCTCCCACATGGTCTACACTCTCTACCCTGAGCTGTACGCGCACTTGGGTGAGTGTGTGAATTCACTCATGCGAGCTGCACGTCCCCCCCCTCCCCCCAACATCTCTCTCCCACATGGTCTACACTCTCTACCCTGAGCTGCACGCGCACTTGGGTGAGTGTGTGAATTCACTCATGCGAGCTGCACGTCCCCCCCCTCCCCCCAACATCTCTCTCCCACATGGTCTACACTCTCTACCCTGAGCTGCACGCGCACTTGGGTGAGTGTGTGAATTCACTCATGCGAGCTGCACGTCCCCCCCCTCCCCCCAACATCTCTCTCCCACATGGTCTACACTCTCTACCCTGAGCTGCACGCGCACTTGGGTGAGTGTGTGAATTCACTCATGCGAGCTGCACGTCCCCCCCCTCCCCCCAACATCTCTCTCCCACATGGTCTACACTCTCTACCCTGAGCTGCACGCGCACTTGGGTGAGTGTGTGAATTCACTCATGCGAGCTGCACGTCCCCCCCCTCCCCCCAACATCTCTCTCCCACATGGTCTACACTCTCTACCCTGAGCTGCACGCGCACTTGGGTGAGTGTGTGAATTCACTCATGCGAGCTGCACGTCCCCCCCCTCCCCCCAACATCTCTCTCCCACATGGTCTACACTCTCTACCCTGAGCTGCACGCGCACTTGGGTGAGTGTGTGAATTCACTCATGCGAGCTGCACGTCCCCCCCCTCCCCCCAACATCTCTCTCCCACATGGTCTACACTCTCTACCCTGAGCTGTACGCGCACTTGGGTGAGTGTGTGAATTCACTCATGCGAGCTGCACGTCCCCCCCCTCCCCCCAACATCTCTCTCCCACATGGTCTACACTCTCTACCCTGAGCTGCACGCGCACTTGGGTGAGTGTGTGAATTCACTCATGCGAGCTGCACGTCCCCCCCCTCCCCCCAACATCTCTCTCCCACATGGTCTACACTCTCTACCCTGAGCTGCACGCGCACTTGGGTGAGTGTGTGAATTCACTCATGCGAGCTGCACGTCCCCCCCCTCCCCCCAACATCTCTCTCCCACATGGTCTACACTCTCTACCCTGAGCTGCACGCGCACTTGGGTGAGTGTGTGAATTCACTCATGCGAGCTGCACGTCCCCCCCCTCCCCCCAACATCTCTCTCCCACATGGTCTACACTCTCTACCCTGAGCTGCACGCGCACTTGGGTGAGTGTGTGAATTCACTCATGCGAGCTGCACGTCCCCCCCCTCCCCCCAACATCTCTCTCCCACATGGTCTACACTCTCTACCCTGAGCTGCACGCGCACTTGGGTGAGTGTGTGAATTCACTCATGCGAGCTGCACGTCCCCCCCCTCCCCCCAACATCTCTCTCCCACATGGTCTACACTCTCTACCCTGAGCTGCATACCACTGGCTTAATGCATGCATGCTCCCTCTCCCTCACTCTCACGGTCTCACCCCTCTCCCCGCACACCCTTTCCCCCTCTGCCCCGCCCCCTTGTCCCTTCTTAACAGACGAGATAGGGGCAGGCACCATGTTCTTCACGGTGCGCACAGTCATGGCCATGTTCCCCCATGAACTCTCCTTCCTCTGTGCAACCGCTCCGTCTCCTTCTCTTTGTTCCCGTCTCGCCCTCTCCCTCCCCTTCCCCATCAGACGAGATAGGGGCAGGCACCATGTTCTTCACGGTGCGCACAGTCATGGCCATGTTCCGCCGGGAGCTCTCTGGGAGTCCTCCTCATGCCCTATGCCTCCCTCTCATCCTCCTCTCCTTTCCCCCTTCCCCCCCTTCACCCTGACAGACGAGATTGGGGCAGGCACCATGTTCTTCACGGTGCGCACAGTCATGGCCATGTTCCGCCGCGAGCTGCCTACGAGCTCCCCTTTCTCTTTGCATGCCATCTGTCTCCCTCTCATCTTCTCCCTCTCTTTCTCCCCCCTACCCCCCAACAGACGAGATAGGAGCGGGCACCATGTTCTTCACAGTCCGCACGGTCATGGCCATGTTCCGCCGCGAGCTCTCCTTTGCTGACGCACTCTACCTCTGGGAGGTGAGTGACCACTAGTGACTTCCTGTATCACTGACTTCCCGTGGGTCGGAGTATGTGACATGGTAGGGCCTTAGCTTGCCAGGGTCTCGTCTCAGGATAATTTTCCTACATGGAGGAGAGATTCATCTTTTAGGGGAAAGTATAGACAGCGAGTCTCCCCCAACCCCCCACCGCATCCCATCCGAAGTAAAGACAGCGAGTCTCCGGTGTGTGCTGAAACGTCTCGAAATTCTCCTCCCCATGCAGGTGATGGGGGTGGGACTATGACTCATGCAGTGTGGCGCTGGTTCCATCCCCTTACCCCACCCACCCCCACCCAATCTCCCTCCCTCCGCCTGGTTCTGCTTCTCTCCCGCTTCTCCTCCTCCCTGGCAGATGATGTGGGCGTGGGACTATGACGCATGCAGTGCAGCACTCCTCCCACTAGCAGATCAAGCCATCTTCCATACGGCCCGCCACCTGCCGCACCTCACCATGGACCGATCTGCTTACATTGCCGCCACCGCCGCTGCCGTCCGGGCAGCGGCTTCCGTCTTACTCGACGCAGATCTCTTCACGGCTATCGCTGTCGATATCGCCAATGCCACCCGCGTGCCCCTCTCTGCTGTAACCGGCGGCGCTGGTGCTGCCAGTGCTGGTGGGGTTGGGGCAAGCAGCAGCAGCAGCAGCAGCTGCGGCAGTGGTGGGGGTTCGCTTTCGACGTATGCATCTGGCTCGGTGGGTACTGCGAGCAGCATTGCCGGCAGCGGCGGCACGTCGGCGTTTGCAGCACCGCACGAGGATGCGGATCGGGGCTCAGTGGACCTCTTTTCGTCCCCACAGAGGCTGGAAATCGCCCTTATGGCTGCAGAGCTGGCTGTGACTCAGGCCGCCGTGCATGCTGTGCCTGATACCCCTGCTTCTGGGGCTCTTATGGGGAGGAGAGGTGTTGGGGGAGTGGGTGGGAGGGAGTTTGTGGTGCCTGCGGAGTGGGAGGAGGATGGAGGGGTGGAGGAAGGAGAGGACGGGTGGGAAGGGGAGGAGGAGGATGAGGAGGCGTATGGGGAGAGTGAGAGTGAAGAGGAGGATGAGGAGGACGAGGAGAGAGAGGGGGAAAGTAGGAGTGAGAGTCAGGGCAGTGACTTCGAAGGTGAGAGTGGGGAGGAGGATCAGGGGAATATGGGGTATGGGTCAGAGGAGGACAGGGAGGGAGAGGAGGGGGAGGAAGGGGAAGAGAGCGGAGGGGAGGAGGAGGGAGAGTGGGGGGAGGATAGGCGCCTGTCACACGAAGCAGCTAGGATAGCGGGAGTGTGGGAGGAAGCTGAAGAGGTGGGGGTTGCAGGGGTAGAAGTGGGAGGGGAAGGAGTAGCAGTTGGAGGGGCAGGTGGTGGAGAGGTAGGCATGGTAACAGCGGGAGGGGCAGGGACAGGCATAGCAGGGGGGGCGGTGGGAGTCAGCTGGAGTGCGTCTGGTGGCATTGAGTCGTCCTTCTTTGGCCGCATGCGGTCCCTGTGGGGCAAGAAGGACGACCCTTCCCTTCCTCCTGCTCCTCCTGCTGCTGCTCTTCCTCCTCCTCCTGCTGCTGCTGCTGCTGCAGGTAGTTCTGCCGGTGTGGGCGAGGAGAGAGTGGGCAGGCGTGTGCATCAAAGCAGGTCTGCAACCGAGCTGACACACGTTCACGGCAGCACCACGACCACCACGATCAGCACAACCAGCACAATCAGCAGCAGCACGACCAGCAGCAGCACCCACACCCATGCTAGCGGAGCTTCAGGAGGTTCATCCACTGCAGTACTAGCTGTACCATGTGACCCACCACCCCCAGCGTCAGCAGCAGAACCAGCAGCAGAACCGGCAGCAGCGGCAGTAACAGGCAGCAGCAGCGAGGGGCTATTTGACGGGCTGTTCGGCTTCACCCGCAGCATCACCATTCACGTCATGGGCGGCACGAGCCGCCCGCCCCTCCCTGCCGCCTCCTCTCCTCCGTTCGCCTCTGCACACAGGCACAGCAGCAGCAACGCAGAGGACACAGTGCTTGATCTCTCAGCTGTGTCGTCTCGAGTGGCCTTTGATCCGTCCAAGGACCTTCCTCCGGATGAGAGGCTGCCCACGAGTCAGCAGCTGGAGGCTCGGAGGAGGGCGGCGCTGAGAGGGGGCGTGGGGAGCGGTGTGGAGCAGGTTAGGAGCGAGGGGAGGAGCGAGGGGAGGAGTGAGGGGAGGAGTGAGGGGAGGAGTGAGGGGAGGAGTGAGGGGAGGCAGCGGATCGTACGGTCGGTTTCGGGGGGAGACTGGAAGGAGACCACGACTGAACGAGAGGGAGGAGTGGGGAGAGACGGAAGAGAAGGAAAGGAGGCAGATTGTGGGGTCAGAGGAGGTGGGGGTGGTGGGGATGGTGGGGATGGGGGTTCGGTCAGGAGTGGTTATGGGGGTTATGGGAGGGCAGGGCTTGATGCGGGAAGGCCTCCTCCTGCTGTTGCTCGGAAGGGTCGAGGGCGTGAGAGAGAGGAGGGGGAGAGGAGGAGGGAGGAAGACGGGGACGAGAGGAGAGGAGAGAACCTGGAAAGGGCAGGAGATGAGTTGGTGGATGGCAGTGGAGGTAGCAACGGTGCCGATTCTCCAGCTGCGAGGCCACTCCAGATGGACGGTCAGGATCGGCCGCCGCTCCCGCTGCGCAGATACCAGTCAATGGGGACCGAGAGAGAAAGAAAAATCCCCAGCATCACCACCAGCAGCACCACTACGAGCGGCAACAGCATGAGCAACAGGGGGAACATCTCTAGCAGCGGTAGACAACCAAGCGCCACTGGAGCTTCTTTAAGCGTCATTGCAGCAGGAGCTGCAGGTTCTTCTGCAAGCTCTTCCAGCTCCAACCGCTCCCTGCAGCGCCCCATGGGAGGCTCGCTCAAATTCGACGTTCCCCGCATTGACGTCCCCGCACTCCCCACCATCCTCGCCCCGCCCTCGCACCCCTCCCACCCGTCTCAGCGTGCCCGCACCCACTTCCCCTTCCCCCTCTCCTCCCACCACCAGCCGTCCTCCTCGTCCTTCCACTCGCGCCTGCTCCGCCGGCAAAACAGCTCTCAGAAGCAGAAGGCAGCAGCGGTGGCCGTGCAGCGGCAGCAGCAGCGGCAGAAGCAGCAGCAGCTGGAGCAGCAGCTGCAGCAGGTGAAGCAGAAGCACGGGTTTCTGAGGAGGTATCAGAGCATGCATCCGGGGCTGATGCTGCTGCGCCCGCTGCACCTGCCGCTGGTGTGGAAGCAGGAACAGCAGTTGGCTGAGCTGAAAAGCCATAGGAGCCTGAGGGAGCGTGGGAGCATGGGAGAGGCAGCAGCAGAAGCAGCAGCAGCAGCGGCTCACGACTTCTCTGCTGCTCTTGCCTCTGTTGCTTCTGCTGCGGCGGGCAAAGGCAGTAATGACGGATTTTGGGGTTTCAGCACTGCTCTTGATTTCGAACACACTGACAAACCCGCTCCTGCTGCTGCTGCTGCTGCTGCTGCTACAGCCACTAGCAATTGGAGCCCTGCTAGAGTCTTTTCTGCTGGGCCTGCTTCGAATGCTGCTGCTGCTACTGCTTCTCTCAGCAGAACAGGAGGCACCAACCACAATGCCACCCGCAGCTTCACAGAAGATTCCTCCTTCAACCCCTCCACCACCCCCCCTTCCTCTCGCTCCCTCTCCCGCTCCTTCTCCTGGGCTGATTCCGGGCCTTACAGAAGGGATAACCTTAGGTTCGCGGCCACCATTGCTCTGCGCGAGCCTTCCCCCCGAACCAGCCTCCGCAGGCACGGGAGCCCGGCGTTAGGCTCGGCACGGAGCGCTGGTGGTCGCTCGGCGAGGTCCCGCAGGGAGAAGCTGCGGAGGGGGGTGAGTTTCGGTTCGGAGCCGGACCTAGGCTCGGGACGAGGCTCGGGTGGGGGGTTCGGATCGCCATCGGAACAGCAACGGAGGAGAAGCTCCGAGGTTCGGAGGGAGGGAAGGGAAGGAGGAGCAGATGGGCAAGGAGAAGGAGCGTTCATAGCAGCAGCAGCTGTAGCAGCAGTACCAGCTTCGGCGGCGGGAGGAGTTGGGAATATGAATGTGAGACGGGTAAGGAGTGACGAGGAGCACTTGGTTTCACTTAACCTGGTCCCTCGGGGCATGCCGCCTCTCCCCTTGAGAGACAGTCCAAAAGCTCCCATAGGCGCCCTGAAGGCCGCTCAAGACAGTCCAAGAATGCACATAGGGGTCGCAAAGGACAGTCCAAAACCGCCCATAGGTGCCCTGAAAGGCCAGCAGGACAGTCCAGGGTCGCCCATGGGGGGTATGCTGAGAGACAGCCCGAAAATGCCTCTGGGTGTGATGCAAAGGGAGCTGGGGAGAATGGGCAGTCCCAAGATCCCGGCACTGGAAGGAGCGTTGCGGAGGGAGGCGGATGGAGACTCGCCGCCGGTGCTCTCAGTGCCTGCGCCCACACGTGCAACGTTTGAGTGGGGCCAGAGGCATATGCGAGCGCAATCCCCTAGGGACGCCTCCTCGCCCTCCTCTCTCTGCTCCCCTGCTGCTGCCAGTACTGCTGTAGTGGGTGGGCCTGCACCTGTTGGTGCTCAGTTGGGTGGTGAGAGCAGGGGGGGGGATGGTACCAAGGAGGACCCGCGTGCTCCCCTGCAGCGACTAAGGCCCCCGCGTGTTGAGCTCCCTGAAACTGCTGCTGGCGCTGGTGCTGCTGCTGGTGCTGCCACTGGTGCTGCCACTGCTGCCGCCACTGGTGCTGGTTCTGGTGCTGCTGCTGCTACTGCTGGTGCTGGTGCGGCTGGCGCAACTGCTGCAGCTGGTTCAGACACAAAGCCTTCCCTCTTCCTGCCTCCCAGGTCCCCTGGCACTTTCTCCCACAAGCCCTCCCGCTCTCTCCCTTCACCCTCCTCCTCTGCTTCCGCTCGCCCCGCCTCACCTGCTGATCTGCCCACTGCAGTGGGGAAGCGCAGGCAGGCCGGCAGCAGCATGGGTGGTGCTGCTGGTGCTGCTGCTGGTGCTGGTGCTAGTGGTGCTGCTCGCACTAGCCATTTTCCCCTAGGCCTGCCTCCCATATCTCCCAGGGTCAGCTCGGCAGGCTCGGGAACCGAGCCTGCAGGTTCGGGATCCGGCAGCATGTTCGGGCACGGCTGGGGAGGCTCCACTAAATCCCCTCGCTTCCTGCCGGCTGCTCCCAGCATGGCTGGTAGCGTGGCTGGTAGCACAGCAGGGAGCACAGAAGCAGGCAGCACAGAAGGCAGCACAGGCAGCATGGCAGGCAGCATATCCAGTGCGCTTCTGGTGGGCAAACCGAAACACGATTCTGCACCTGAGACGGGCGTTGGTGTTCAGGCGGGGCCCATGCAAGACGACACGGTCGATCTTACGCCAGAGGGAGAACTGGAGGAGCCAGATGACGCCCTACCAGACGATCTACCAGGCGCCCTACCAGACGATCTACCAGGCGCCCTACCAGACGATCTACCAGGCGCCCTACCAGACGATCTACCAGGCGCCCTACCAGACGATCTACCAGGCGCCCTACCCGACGCGCCGTTCCTCTTCCCACCCTCCAAATCCCTCGCTAGAGCGTCCCACGAAGGCAGAGGCGGGTCGATGCACGAGAGAGGAACCCATATGAGCAAAGACCATCCTCATCAACCCCCTCACTTGTTGTTCCCCCACTCAAGGTCTCTATCTGGTGCCTCTCCCCCCTCTCCTGCTAGCATCTTCAAGGCTCCTCTCCGCCGGTTAAACCTCAAGGTTCCCCCTGAACTACACCTGAATCTCAAGTCACCCCGGGCGGAACACCCTCCGAAATCCCCGGGTTCCATGCCCTTTGCCCTCCCTTTTGAGGTGACTCTGGGGTTAAAATCCCCTGGTCCGTTCCGAATCCCGCCTGAGCTAAGCACTGGAATGAAGTCTCCTCGGCCGTTCATTCCCCCAGATCTGCTTAAATCCCCGCTGGCACTTAAATCCCCGTCTTCTAGAGATTTCCTGGCCAAGATTTTCGACGATACCAACCGAGCGACGATGCGGGCGAGTGCGGTGAAAGGGGGTGCCAAGGGGTGGCACAGCCTTCCGAGAGACGCAGGAGGGGTGATGGGAGGGCGTGGGGAGGGGGGGGAGGAGGAGCAGGGGAGGAGAAACACAGGCAAGGAGAGTGGAGGGGGGGTGGAGTGGCTGGGAACGCCTCAAAGGAGTTTAAGTGGGGAACGGAAGCAAAGGAATCAAAGGGATCAGAGGAACGCAACGCATCACAGAAGCGCTAGTGGTGAAGCAGGGATGAAGGGGTTTTGGGGGTTGAAGGCTAAAGGGGAGGAGGAGAAGGAGAAAGAGGCAGGAGGGGCAGCAGGGGAGAAGGGGAATACCCTGGGAGAAGCAGGGATGCCTGGTGAAAGGGTGGCTGAGAGTGGGGGAGAAGCGACAGCGGAAGGGTTGGAGAAGGGTGAAGCAGCGTGTGAAGAGGAGAGGGAGGACGGGGAGGGAAAAGCAGTGTTTGAAAAGGAGACGGAGGGCGTGAAAGCAGGGCAAGAGGCTGACGTGGAAGGGGACTGGCAGGGATTCGGGGTGGTGCACAGCCCATCGCTGTCCTTGACTCCTGCTCCTGCTGCCGCTGCTGCTGCTTCTCCTGCTGCTCCTGCTGCTCCTGCTGCTTCTCCTGCTCCTGCTGCTGCTGCTCCTCCTCCTCCTGCTGCTGCTGCTGCTCTTGCTGTTGGTTCAGAGGAAGCGTTTCATTTCAAGCCCCTCTTGACTTCCACGTCTCCCAAAGTGCTGCCACCACCACCACCACCCCCAGCCTTTTCTACACCCTCAACAACCGCACTACCATCGTCATCATCCCCATCGTCGTCTTCTTCCGCAGCAGCAGCAACATTAGCAACAGTAACAGACAGCCCAAGCAGCACCCCCAGCTCCATCTCCCAAACCTCTCCCTCCCTAGCCTCAAGCACAGGCTCGGGCTCAGGCTCGGGGTTAGGCTTGGACCGCAGACGCCCCTCAATTCCGCCTCTCATGGTCCTCGCCCCGTCCGCACCTCTCCCCAGCTCCGTCACCAAACATGCCGCCGAGCCTCCGTCGTCCCCTACCGAGTCTAACCTATCGTCCCCTGCTCTATCCGTGGCTGAGATCCCGTCGCCACAGGGGGAGGTGGATGAGGAGGGGGTGCTGGTGGGGGAGGGGGAGGAGGATGCAGAGGTGGAGGTTGAGAGAATGACGACTTTTTGTGTGCTGGCGATTCTGCTGGAGATGAGGGAAGACCTGGTGCAGTATGCTCAGGGGTTGGATGATGTGGTACATGTAAGTGGGGCATGTGGGGCATGAGAGCAATTTGAGTGGGATATGTGTGGTGCATGCATGCTGGCGATTCTGCTGGAGATGCGGAAAGATTTGGTGCAGTATGCTCAAGGGCTGGACGATGTGGTGCATGTGAGTGGCGTATGTGGGGCATGGGAGTGGGGCATGGGAATGGATTATGGTAGTGGGTGGGGCACGTGGTGCATGCATGCTGGCGATTCTGCTGGAGATGAGTGAAGACCTGGTGCAGTTTGCTTTGGGGCTGAACGATGTGGTACATGTGAGTGGGGCAAGTTGGGGCATGAGAGAGTGCGGCATGTGAGTAATGTGAGTGGGGTACGTGTGGTGCGTGCATGCTGGCGATTCTGCTGGAGATGAGGGAAGACCTGGTGCAGTATGCGCAGGGGCTGGACGATATAGTACATGTGGGTGGCGTATGTGGGGGATGAGAGTGGGGCATGTGGTGCATGAAGAGGGGGGGCATGTTGGGAATGAGAATGAGGCATGTGTTGTGCATGCATGCTGGCAGTCCTGGTGGAAATGAGGGACGACCTGGTGCTGTGTGTGTGCTCAGGGGCTGGATCACGTCATGCATGTCAGTGGCGTATGTCGGGCATGAGAGTGGGGCATGAGAGTGGGGCATGAGAGTGGGGCATGTCAGTGGCACATGCATTGCATCAACCAAGTTTCCCACATTTCATGCTTAGCACCTTCCCACTTCTCTACCTTCTTGCTCCTCTCAACTTTCCCCTCTTTCCTCTCCTCTTCCCAACCCCCTTCCCCTCTTCCCCCCTTCTGTAACCTCTCATTCTCTCCTGCCCCTTCCCAGTATTTCAATCTCGCAGCAACCAGTTGGAACATAAAGAAGCTCTGCAAAAAGGCGGTCACATACCATCGCAAATACCTTTACCTGGTAAGAACACTCATCCACACATTTCTTGCTACTGCTGGCTTGGGTTGGCACCACAACCACCTTTATTTTGCGCACGCCACACCTTAATTTTACGTTCATGCACATGGCGTTTTCTGTGAGGTGAGGTTCGATTGGTTCTAACGTTAGCATGTGGTTTGCTTGTGGTTTGTCTGCCTTCGCATCCATGTTTGCTGCCCAACCCCTTGAATAATGCAGAGAATGGCTCGTGCAAACGCCATGTCCATTTACTTCACATAGGTTATGCAGAGCTTAGAATGGTGCCAGATTTGAACACCTTGAATTTACAGCTAATTATGAATGGAAATGGCTTCTTAGGTAAATGGGACCGTAGAGTTTGCTACACTGCTTGCGTTGTACCGAAATACTTGTGGACGAGCCGCACTCGATAATATCATCGTCCTTTTCATGTCGAGGGTGTGGTGCGGAAATGTGTTCACTGCCCGAGGAGAGGACACATCCACGGCCAGCGAACTCGGCCAGTAACAACATCGAAAATGCTGTAGGCGAAAGCTTTCAACCAACGAACACATCACCATACTACAGTGCAGTGCAAGTTACCAAAGTACGCGTTTTTTAGTCAGCAGAAAGCGTTGTCAGAAGGGTCATAGTCGTAGGTCAAGAATTTTACCGAGTCAGGTCAGCAGCAGCAGCTGCGTCAGATAATGTACAGTAAATACAGTGCCAGAGGGTCGTGCATTGACGACAGTGTGGTGTGGATTTTCTAAGACTGGCACCATCAAGTTGCGCCTTGCTTTGTGAATTGCCCGATCTTTTCCAGCTCACCTTGGGCTTGTCATAGGAAACTCGACTTTTGGGTTGTCCCAAGCCATTCATGTGTGAAAACCATCTGAACCGCACTGGGCTGGACGAAAGTGTGACATACCCTTGAGCTTGCCGTTTTCGCATCACACAACACAAGCTCTCGCTCCCCCAATCCCAATGAACCTTGGGCTTGCTTTCGCATCACGCTTTGCTTGTTTTCTCCCCCTGTCGCTTGTTGCTCCTCCTCGCTAGGTTTGACCATTCCGTTCCGTCTCACAGGTCCCTCCCTCCCCTCGCGAAGTCTGTCTGTAACCTATCATCACCACCTCTCTTTCTCTAGCCATCCAGTCTGGTTCTGGCCGCATCACATTCGTATTGTCCTCAGCTCTCCTCACTTACCTACTGATTGGTATTACAGACTGTCATTGGCGTCACATGCTCTACAGAATCCAGAAAGGCATTGGCGGCACCATGGTGGGTGGATAAGATGACCTAGAGATTTCTCAGTTTCGCATCGCACCTCTGTTTTTCAAGTTTCAGACTTCCTGTTTCTTGTTTTGCAAAATGTCACGCCTCTGATATACGCAGGCTGCTAAAGTGACGACGAGGCGATTCGAGGTTGCTAAGTTTCTAAGTGTTAAAGAGCTCACTTAGTCGCATCATGTGACGAAGGAATTAGCGAGTATAGGTTGCTTCCCTATTACAAGGAGTTGCTGCGACGGATGCTTTTGATGGTTTCCTGCGAACGTCGCTGTTAGTTTCACGACGACGACCCTAGTCCGGTAATTTGATTCGCTTAGTTGTACCCGAGCTAATGCCAGTCGGTTATCAATTGACAGTTTCCCTGCGTCTTTCGTTCTACGACATAATACCAGCTACTCGCGATATGGCCTTAAGCCCTCGCGCCGAACCTCGTCTTTGTCTGCGTGCTTAGCTAGAAATCAGTATTTCGCAATACGCGATGGAGGGTTAGCATACTATCGGGACGTTACCGCGCTAGAAGCCGCGCAACGGCTCGACTACTTATTTATCTCGGCTTTATTCCTTCGCGTTGATCCCTTCCGTTTTTATCACTTTTAAGTCACCATGGACTGGTACGCCCAGCCACAGGATGCCGGCGCTCGTTTCGGCGCGTCCCGCTCCATGCCGCCACGTCAGCACGTAGTCGCAACGACGCCTGCTGAAGCCGCTCCCGAACTTCTAAACCGCTCTCCACGTTCGTCCACCCTTCCGAACCACCTTCCGAACCACCCGCCATACCATTATCCGAACCACCCGCCGAACCAGCGGTACCGCCCACAACCCGAGCCCGGTAACGACGCTCGGCCCTTCAGCGACCAGCACATTCCTCTTTCCGCCGACGCCCCCGCTAAGCGCGACCGCGCCAACCGCGCCCTCCGCAAGGGTATCTCCGCCTCGTCCGCGCAATTAGATCCGCCTAGTTCCGTGCGCCATCGAAATGATGACTCTAGGCAGTGTGACGATATCGGTGGTGAGCACAACGAGCTCACGGAATATCTTTTTGGAGAGGGGGGGGTTGGAGCTGGCGCGTGGGTTTCTGGCGGTGATGAGTTCGAGCGCGGAACTGGCGGCGGGTTTGGCGGCGTTGCGGGTGGCGGTACTGGTGGCAGCGGTAGATTCGACGACGCGATAAGAGACGATCCGGGACGAGGGGTCTCTAATGCTCGGCATGTTATGGCCAAATCTCCGTCTGCGCGCCGTGCCGGCGACAATAGCCGACCAGCCGTAAACCGCCGGCAGGAGTGGCGGAGGGGCAGTGACGGGCTGTCAGGTTGGGTGGATAATCCCGAGGATGTGCCCGAGCCTATGCCCATGGTTCGGCGCCATACCACGGGCATAGGGGGTGTGGCAGTTTCGCGCGGGGAGAGGGGGAAGGTGGGGGAGGGGACTGGGGAAGACGGTCAGTGGCGGAGCGGGTTACAAGGGGAGAGGGCGGAGCGGGCGCAGGGAGTGCTGCTGCAGCGGCGATCGAAAACGGGACCTGATTATCCCAGAGGCAACACGCTGGTTGCCGCGGGGAGTACGGCGGGGAACGCGGCAGCAGGTGCTTCTTGGGGAGGCGCATCGGGACACGGGGAGAGCTTCGGCGGCTTTGGCGGGGGGTTCAGAAGCGCGGGCGGCGCGCCGAAGTCTTCCTCAGGCGGATCGGTGCAAAGCGGTGCCAGTGAGGGGCAGACGACGGGGGAAGCGCGGATAGGGGCGGAGCAGCAGAGAGCCGCGGGAGGTAGCGGCAGACTGGCGGGCGCTGGAGGCGGGAACAGCGGGGGGAGGGAAGGCGCAGGCGGAGTCGCGGGGATCGGGGGACCCCGCGGGGTGCGCGCGGGGAGCATAGGCATCATGTCTCCGCGCCTGCTAAGATTCCTAGTGGACGAAGAGAGCCCCGCAGGCCCGAACCCTAGCGGGGGCTTCGACGATGGAAGGAGGCGCGGGGGAGACGGGCGGAAGGCAAAAGGGCGGGGGAAGGACGCGGGGACGGGGAAAGGGGATGCCGGCGGAGCAGGGGGGAGAGGAAGCAGGGAGAGGGAGAGAGAGGGAGGCGGGCAAGCTTGGAGAAGGAATGAGAATCTCAGGCATCAGGGGACAGGAGGCGGGGTGACCCCCAGAGCTGCTGCGGCGGCGGGGATTGGGGGAAGCAGCGGTGAGGGGGGGCGGAGATCCCCCAGAGCGGACGCCGCCTTGTACTTCCCCAAATCGCGCAGCCTTGCTGTGCCGAAATCCCCGCTTTCCGCTGCGCCGCGCGTTGTTCCGCCGCCCCTCACTCCCCAGCCCGTGCTTCCCCCGGTTTCTCCCGCCCGCCACCGCTTCCCCAAGTCCCCCTCCTCCTCCGCGCGCGCCTTAGCGCGTTCCGCCAATGCTTCCCCCACCACTGCTGCCCCAGGATTATCACCTCACTCTAGCACCAGTACTGATCTTTATTCCGAATCCGGCTCTTATGCAAGCTCAGGTGTGTTCTCCCAGGCGTTTCAGGGTTCGGAGAAACAAAGTGCAAGCCCTGTTTATGACTCGCGAACAGCCTCCGCCCCTCGTACTGGTTCCTCCCCTCGTACAGGCTCATCTCCCCGTACGGTTTCATCTCCCCGTACGGTTTCAACTCCCCGTGGGGGGTTACTTTCCGGTACTGAAACGTCTCCGCGTACGGGGTCGTCCCTTCGTACCGGTTCATCTCCCCGCGATGCATCCTCTCCCTCACACTCTCCCTCCTCCTACCCTCCAAAAAGCTCGTATCCTCCTAGCAACTCGTTTTCCCTCCGCCCCTCCTCTGGCGATTCCGCCAATTCCGTCTCAGGGGGAGCGGAAAAGACGGGAGGGGCGGCAGGGGCGCGTGGGGCGGAAGTGGGGGGAGAAGCGGCTGCTGGTGGTGCTGACGCTGGCGGTGCTGGTCTGTTCCCCGCCTACCCTGCCTCCTCGTCTTTCTCGTTTGACTCTAACCAGGCATCGTTACAGTCACCCACGTCCTTGCATTATGACCCTGTTGGTGGGCATGGTGGTTACGGTGGGGATGGGGGAGTAGCGGCAGGTGGGTTGGAACGCATGGGCCATACACAGCCGCAGCAGCCGCAGCAGCAGCAGCAGCAGCAGCAGCAGCAGCAACCGCTGCTGGTAAGGCCGCAGGAGCAAAGAATTTCGCCCTCCGTCTCCCCGCCCTTCCTCTCCGCCCCTACCCTGACCGTCCGCAGCAACAGCGGAAAGTTTCGCCGCCCCGCTGCCCTGGATCTCGGGCAGCTCTCGCCAACCAATCAGCTGGAGCCAGAGGACGCGGAGGAAGAAGACGGGCAGGAAGTTATGGTGCGATTGGGAGATGAGGAAGAGGAGGTGGTGGAGGAAGGGGAGGGGCTAACACGCGAGCAGTATATGCAGCAGCCACAGGGTCAGGAACAGGTGGGGAAGGCAGACGGGGCGGATCAGCAAGGGTGGGAGGAAGAGGTTTATTACTTAGACGAGCAGGATGACGTGTCAGAATACCAGAAACAGCAGTACCACCAACAGCAGAAGCAGCAGCGGCAGCCTCACCAGCAGCAGCAGCAGCAGCAGCCGCCGGCAGTAGCTGGGTCAGCTGCAGCAGGCCACTCCCGCACCAAGCCTAAGCCCCGAGCCTTGGTGACTGGTTCGGCAGATTGGTCCGGCGACAATGGCAGCACCACGCTTCTAGACTCTCTAGAGCCTCTTGCTGGTGATCCGGATGAGGAGGAGGAGGAGGGGGAGGGGTACGGGGGGTACGACTGGGGGGAGATGGAGGAGGGAGAGGAGGAGAAGGAGCGAGAGGAGGCTCGGAGGAAAGGGCATAGACGGACGGGGAGTCTGGGGGGAGGAGGGGTGGGAGGGGGAGGGGCGGGAGGGGGAGAGGGAGAAAGAAACGGAGGGAGAGGGCAGAGACGGCAGGCGTTTATTCAAAAGCTGAAGGGCCTGGCCTCACCGCGTTTTAGGGAGGATAAGGGGAAGGCGAGGGGGTGGCAGGGGGAGGATGGGGAGGCGGAGGGGAAGCAGGAGGAGGAGGGGAAGAAGGCCGGGGGGAAGGGTGAGGGGAAAGGGGGGAAGGGAGTGGGAAGGAGGAATGCAGTGACTCCCGGGGCTGGGGGAGGGGGAGGGGGAGTGGGCGGGTGGGGGCGCAGTATCACAGGGGAGAGGACGAGGAGGGAGGCAGACGCAGTGGTATCGGCAACAGGGAAGGGCGGAGGCAAGGAGAGGGAGAAGGAGAGGGAGGGGGATCGGGAGAAGGGGAGGAGGATGGTAGAGGCACTCTTAGACATGCCCACGAGGAGGGTGGAGTCACCAGCAAGAGGGAAGGCCAGGACGGAGGTAGCGAGGCCGGGGATAGCAGGCAGTCGTGGGGCAGGAGGGGCGGGCGGAGGGGCAGGGGGAGGGGCAGGAGGGGTGGGCGGAGGAGGGGCAGGAGGAGGGGCAGAGGGGGAGTCTATGCGCAAGAGCACAGACGGTTTGTTCAAGGAGGCAAAGGGCTTGTCGTTGTGGGAAAAGCGCAAGGTCGGAGGGGCAGCGGGAGCAGGAGGGAAAGGAAGCGAGGGAGGTGGGGGAGGAGAGGTCAAGACGCCTAGCTTCCTCCGCTCCTTCACCCAGCCTCGCTCCTCCAGCAGTAGAGGCTCTAAAACACCCAAGGGCGGCACCAGCACAAGTGGCAGCACTAGCAACACTGCTAGCACCAGCACTGGCGGTGGTGGTGGCGCTAGCAGCAGCAGCGGCATCGGCAGCATCAGTTTGGCTTCTCGGTCGTTCAAACTGGACCACAAATCGGATCACAGCACGAGTGCGGGCAGCAGCAAAACGCCAATGGAGGCCAGCCAGCACAGGTCGAAGCGGTCTGGGTCGGGCACGTGGGGAGGGGGGCTGGTGGCTGCAGTGGAGGGGTTTAGCCGCAGCCTCACTGCTCCTAAAGGCTCCTTTGGCTCCGCTGCTGGTAACGCCTCTGCTTCTGCTAGTAACGCTGTTGCTGCTGCTGCCGCTGGCGCTGGTAGTAGCGGTGGTAACGGTGCTGCTGCTGGTGCTGCTGCTGCTGGTGCCGCTGCTGCTGGTGCCGCTGTTGGTGCTGGTGCTGGCGCTGGTGCTGCTGGTGGTGGTGGTGAGGGCGGTGGAATGAAAAAGGTCAAGGGTTTGACCGTGTCAACGTCGCCTCGTCGCCTCAGCAGCAGCGGCGCCACCACTGCAGCCCAGTCCTCCTCTCCGTCCTCCACTTTCACTGATAACTCGCAGAAACATTCCCCTGCTTCTACCAGCACTCCCACTGGCACACCTGCTGCTGCTGCTGCTGCTGCCGCTGCTGTTGCTTCTGCAGCTGGCGGCGGTTCGTCTGGTTCTGCTCCATCCGTGTCAGGTTCGGGCCGAACCGGCTCGTCCACGCCGAAGAGCGCAGCAGGTTCGGGCAAAGCCTCTTCGCCTGGCTCTGCCAGTGCCACCGGCAGTCCCTCTGCCAATTCCCCTGCTGGTGCCACTGCTAATGCCCCTTCTGTTGCCGCCACTGGCGGTGCTGGTGCTTCTGCTACTGCTAAAGGCCGAGCAGACACCAGGAGCAAAAGCCCTCGCACCAGCAGGACTAAAAGCCCGGGGAAGAGAGACGAACAGGGTCCCGGGAAGCTAAGTTCCGGGCAGACCGAGAAGAAAAGCTCTTCGCGAACCACCAGCCCGAAAACTCTGAGTCCCAGGACCCCCCGCGGCGACGGGCAGCAGCAGCAGCCGGGCACGGGCAGCACAGAAGGAATTTTCGAGCGCGGGTTCACAGACATCCGGAAGAGATTCGAGGTCGGGCAGCAGATCGGGCAGGGGCGGCGGGGGGTGGTGGTGTATATGTGTGTGGAGAGGCGCACGGGGCGGGCGTATGCGTGCAAGGCGATAGACAAGGCGACTCTGGTGGAGGCGAGGAAGGTGGCGGCTGTGCGGGCTGAGGTGGACGTTATGAGGACGCTGCTGGGATGGCCGCACGTGGTGGGGATCAAAGACGCACTAGAGGACGAAAAGGTGAGCCTCAGGAGGGCTAGAGTGGGGTTTGGGGTGTGTGAGCAAGGTTTGGGTGTGTGGGTGTGTGGAGCGGCGCACGGGGCGGGCGTATGCGTGCAAGGCGATAGACAAGGCGACTCTGGTGGAGGCGAGGAAGGTGGCGGCTGTGCGGGCTGAGGTGGACGTTATGAGGACGCTGCTGGGATGGCCGCACGTGGTGGGGATCAAAGACGCACTAGAGGACGAAAAGGTGAGCCTCAGGAGGGCTAGAGTGGGGTTTGGGGTGTGTGAGCAAGGTTTGGGTGTGTGGGTGTGTGGAGCGGCGCACGGGGCGGGCGTATGCGTGCAAGGCGATAGACAAGGCGACTCTGGTGGAGGCGAGGAAGGTGGCGGCTGTGCGGGCTGAGGTGGACGTTATGAGGACGCTGCTGGGATGGCCGCACGTGGTGGGGATCAAAGACGCACTAGAGGACGAAAAGGTGAGCCTCAGGAGGGCTAGAGTGGGGTTTGGGGTGTGTGAGCAAGGTTTGGGTGTGTGGGTGTGTGGAGCGGCGCACGGGGCGGGCGTATGCGTGCAAGGCGATTGACAAGGCGACTCTGGTGGAGGCGAGGAAGGTGGCGGCTGTGCGGGCTGAGGTGGACGTTATGAGGACGCTGCTGGGATGGCCGCACGTGGTGGGGATCAAAGACGCACTAGAGGACGAAAAGGTGAGCCTCAGGAGGGCTAGAGTGGGGTTTGGGGTGTGTGAGCAAGGTTTGGGTGTGTGGGTGTGTGGAGCGGCGCACGGGGCGGGCGTATGCGTGCAAGGCGATAGACAAGGCGACTCTGGTGGAGGCGAGGAAGGTGGCGGCTGTGCGGGCTGAGGTGGACGTTATGAGGACGCTGCTGGGATGGCCGCACGTGGTGGGGATCAAAGACGCACTAGAGGACGAAAAGGTGAGCCTCAGGAGGGCTAGAGTGGGGTTTGGGGTGTGTGAGCAAGGTTTGGGTGTGTGGGTGTGTGGAGCGGCGCACGGGGCGGGCGTATGCGTGCAAGGCGATAGACAAGGCGACTCTGGTGGAGGCGAGGAAGGTGGCGGCTGTGCGGGCTGAGGTGGACGTTATGAGGACGCTGCTGGGATGGCCGCACGTGGTGGGGATCAAAGACGCACTAGAGGACGAAAAGGTGAGCCTCAGGAGGGCTAGAGTGGGGTTTGGGGTGTGTGAGCAAGGTTTGGGTGTGTGGGTGTGTGGAGCGGCGCACGGGGCGGGCGTATGCGTGCAAGGCGATTGACAAGGCGACTCTGGTGGAGGCGAGGAAGGTGGCGGCTGTGCGGGCTGAGGTGGACGTTATGAGGACGCTGCTGGGATGGCCGCACGTGGTGGGGATCAAAGACGCACTAGAGGACGAAAAGGTGAGCCTCAGGAGGGCTAGAGTGGGGTTTGGGGTGTGTGAGCAAGGTTTGGGTGTGTGGGTGTGTGGAGCGGCGCACGGGGCGGGCGTATGCGTGCAAGGCGATTGACAAGGCGACTCTGGTGGAGGCGAGGAAGGTGGCGGCTGTGCGGGCTGAGGTGGACGTTATGAGGACGCTGCTGGGATGGCCGCACGTGGTGGGGATCAAAGACGCACTAGAGGACGAAAAGGTGAGGTTTGGACTAGGGGTTAGGGTTTGAGTGAAGATTAGGGTTTGAGCGAGAGGAGATTCTGGGATGGCCGCATGTGGTGGGGATCAAAGACGCACTTGTGGACGAAAAGGTGAGCGTGCAGTTGTGGTCACTTGACGAGAATCGTCGGGAGAATCGCCAGTTGTGGTCACTTGAAGAGAATCGTCGGGAGAATCGCCAGTTGTGGTCACTTGAAGAGAATCGTCGGGAGAATCGCCAGTTGTGGTCACTTGACTTGAGGGAGTCGTCAGGGAGAAGTTATTAACCTCTGCGTCATGATGGAGCTGTTTGGGGAACAAACAACCTTCTTTTGAGAATACTAAAAAAATGACTCCAATGCTTGCATCACTTTTGAGAATGTTCAAAGTTTCGCACGTGACTCCAATCTACCTTCTCAACCACGCCCCCATTTCTCCCTAACCAAACCCCACTACCCCCCTCCCCACCCCCCCCCCACCCCTCTTCCCCTTCCATCCCTTAACCTCTCTCCCTCCTGTCCTGTTCATCTTCCTCCCTCCCTTGCCACATCGCTGCCCCCTTTTTTTGCCCCCGCTCTGCCCCCAGTGCGTGTGTATTGCCATGGAGCTCTGCTCGGGAGGGGACCTCCTGGATCACATCAACTCCTCGCCCTTCATCTCGGAGCGAGAGGCCGCCATCATCCTGCGCATGCTCGCAGAGACACCAGACCTCACCACTCCGCCCTCCGCCCTCTCCCCACCCTCCAGTGCGTGTACATCATCATGGAGCTCTGTTGGGGGGGCGATCTCCTGGACCACATCAACTCCTCGCCATTCATCTCGGAGAGGGAGGCGGCCATCATCCTGCGCGTGCTGGCGGAGACGCTGCGGTCGTGCCACAACCACCATGCCTCCTTTCCCTCATCCCCTCTGGCCCTTTCCCCTCTTTTCCAGTGCGTGTACATCATCATGGAGCTCTGCTCGGGAGGAGACCTGTTAGATCACATCAACTCCTCTCCGTTCATCTCCGAAAGAGAGGCAGCCATCATCCTGCGCGTGCTGGCAGAGACGCTGCGGTCGTGCCACAACCACGGCATCATGCACCGCGACTTAAAGCCCGAGAACATCCTGCTCGCGCAACCCGGGTGCTGGTGGGACCTGCGCCTGGCTGATTTCGGATTCTCTGTGCACCTTAAAGCCGGTGAGTTGGGCTCTGCTCTTCCTCACACCCACAGCAACACAACCACGGCATCATGCACCGCGACTTAAAGCCCGAGAACATCCTGCTGGCGCAGCCCGGGTGCTGGTGGGACCTTCGATTGGCTGACTTTGGATTCTCCGTTCACCTTAAAGCCGGTGAGTGGGGTTCTGCTCTTTGTCACACCCACGACAACACGCCCACGGCAACACGCCCAAGGCAACACGCCCAAGGCAACACAACCACGGCAACACAACCACGGCATCATGCACCGCGACTTGAAGCCCGAGAACATCCTGCTGGCGCAGCCCGGGTGCTGGTGGGACCTGCGATTAGCAGACTTTGGGTTCTCCGTTCATCTTAAAGCCGGTGAGTAACCTCACTCCCACACGCACGCCCACGCCCACAGCCACGCACACGGCATCATGCACCGCGACTTAAAGCCCGAAAACATCCTGCTGGCGCAGCCCGGGTGCTGGTGGGACCTTCGCCTCGCTGATTTCGGCCTCTCCGTTCACCTTAAAGCCGGTGAGTGGGTGGGCCTATGTTCTTCTCTTCCTCCCTCATATAGCCACACTGCCACGCCCATACCTGCGCCCACGGCATCATGCACCGCGACCTGAAGCCCGAGAACACCCTGCTCGCGCAGCCCGGGTGCTGGTGGGACCTGTTGTTTATATATCAACAGGAGAGCGAATGACGGGCTACGCCGGGTCCCCTTTCTACATGGCACCGGAGGTGCTGGACAGCGTGTACGGGCACGAGGCGGACGTGTGGAGCCTCGGGGTCATCCTCTACACCATGCCCCATGTCCCATGCCCAATGCTCATGCCCCATACCCTGTGTTTCTACCAGGAGAGCGCATGACAGGCTATGCCGGTTCGCCATTCTACATGGCGCCGGAGGTGCTGGACAGCATCTACGGGCACGAGGCAGACGTGTGGAGCCCGGGGGTCATCCTCTACACCATGCCTCGTGTCTCATGCCCCATGCCCCGGCGCTGTGCCTCTTTCCCCACCTTGTAAACTAAAATCAACAGGAGAGCGCATGACGGGATATGCCGGTTCACCTTTTTACATGGCACCAGAGGTCCTTGACAGCATCTACGGGCACGAGGCAGACGTGTGGAGCCTGGGGGTGATCCTCTACACCATGCTCTCCCAGAAGCTGCCCTTCTGGGACGACACGGACGCGGGTGTGTATCGGCAGATCAAGCGCGCCCAGGTGGACATGGAGAGCGGCGTGTGGCCGGCTATTTCAGATGAGGGGAAGGATCTTGTGCTTGGGATGCTGTCCGCGGATCCGCATCAACGAATCACTCTGGATCGATTGCTCGGTATGTGCCCTGCTGCACGGTTGTTGTACGGGTTTCTGTTTGTTTTTGACGTCGTTCCCTTCTGGGACGACACGGACGCGGAAGGATTTGGTGCTCGGGACGCTCTCAACCGACCCGCACCAACGAATCACTCTGGATCGATCGCTGGGTACGTGCCGTGTGGGTTGTAGGGGATTCTGTTTGGGTCGGACTCAAACAGCATCTGACAAGGGCAGGATCTGGTGCTCGGGATGCTCTCGGTGGACGTGCACCAGCGAATCAACCTTGATAGATTGCTCGCTGGGTGTTTCAAGGGTGTGGGGATTTGAGTTGACTCAGAAGTGTGCAATGAGTCCAAGGATCTGGTGTGGTGTCCAGAGATCCGGGATCTGGTCTGAGGATGAAGGATTCGGGATGGATGCAAGCAGCAGCACAGGGAATAAAAAAATGGAAAATAATCATCCCAATCGATCACTCTGGACCGATTGCTTGGAGCAGGTTGTATGAGGGGGGGGATTGTTGTGCAAGGGATGCTGTCAGAGTTCATTGGGATGCTCTCAGGATGAGCACATTGCACATTGCACATTGCACATTGCACACCAGTGCATCGCTCAAGCCCGCTTCATACCTCCTGTTTCTGCCGTTGGATCATTGCAGCTCATCCGTGGATGGCAGCCAATGGCTGTGATATGCCGCCATCTCCTGCACACAGCACAGCCTCTTCGACCGACACGTCAAGCCTCTCTGGCAGGCGAAAGAAAGACATTGCTCGGTCTACAGGCACCATATTCTCATCGCTCGGAATGCCCTTTTGCCGTGTCTATCAAGGCAATGATGACGATGAGGATGATGACCAAAGTGTATCCGGCTTAGCGTAGACGATTAGAGGTTTATGTTGCCTTGGAGTTTATATTGTAGATTTGCATATTTATAATACCTTACGACCGACGTGTAGTACGTAGGTATCAGTTCTGCCATGTATCCTAGCCGGTTCCGTGCAACACCTTAGCGGACGTGGGTGAGGTTCGTCGAGATTCGCATTCAATGCTTGATGTCACGCGCAGGAAAACGCCAGATTTTGCATTGGCCAGCTCTCATCCACGCAGCAGTCCGTGCCTCAGGTTAGTCCGGCACTGCAGAGCTGCCGAAGCCTCAGATTCGCACATCCGTTTCTGGAAGCTCAAAGGACGACCAGGTGTTGTGCTAGGACGAGGTGCAACCGTTGTATGCGACAAAACGTACATCCCGTTTCGGAATTGCGACCGTGAAGAGCAGCAATTGCTGACGTTCAGAAGGGAAACGGCGTGATTTCATCTACAATACACGGGTGTCGTGTACTTCGCAAACAGCAGCAAAACGGGTGTCGTCCCCCGCTGTCTTTGCTGAGTGGTGTACAAGAATCGAAATCGTGCCCCACGAATAAAATTCACAGGTGCCTATGAAACAAGCTTACTAATGACAAGAACAACTCAGTTCACAGAATGTGAATGTTCTGGCAAAAACGTGTAACTAGTTGTGGGCTTTGATCCCACTGTGCGAACTGTACTCCGCATCAGATTTCACGACCACGACCAAGACGCGAGAAGCACTGTTACTTGGAGCTGGGGGTCACTTCCTCAGCCAATAGAAAAGCGTTTCGTTTCAAGCTGGCGTTTCCAAACAAAGATCGCCGCGTGGAACTGCTTCGCATGCCAACAACATTGTTTCGCAACGCACCGCATCAATCCGCGTTTCGTCCAGGACATTTGTCGCATAAAAATGCTTGGTTGAAGGCGTTGCAAAACGTTTTCACAAATGTTTGCTCTGGTACTTCACGGTTGGTTTTGCCTCCACTTGTATCCTTCTTCCTTGGTTTCGTTTGATTTCGTTACGCTGCACAGCCCATTTCTCCTTGCCCACCAGCTGTGAATGGCTTGCAGAATCACGTGCGTCCTTCTGCCAGTCCAACCACCCATCACCACCACTTCCCTTCATCCCGCTTCCCACGTCGCTTTCGAACCCCATCCACCCCAACTTACGCCTATCCATCTGTGAGTGTATCTAGCAGCCCGAGTCACCTAACCGCCACTCTCTGAGCTAGTAGGAGCTGCCAGCTCTGTACTTCGACTGCTGCATCCCACTCCGCAACCCTCCGCACTCCTCTGTATTCTTATTCCTCCGTGTCCCTCGATATTTTGTTAATCCTGTGCTACTTACCGCCAACATCGATCATCCAATCACAAATCTCCAAATGGACGACGGACCGCCGATACTCGCGTATCCCGTATCCACTAGTAGGCAAGTCCCATGGGACCCCGCTCAACGTCCGCCATCCCCGCTCAATCCCGCCACCAGACGCTTCCCCGCGCCCATTCCTCCCCGCACTTGTGCGCAAGAAGCTTCCGCCAGTCCTTACGGTGCGAGTCCCCACAGCGGAAGCCCCTATGGCGCAGTCCCTTCCGCTTCCCCCGCTCCGCTCCGCCGGTATAACTCCGTCACATCCCCCGCCCCGCCCCCCGTTTCCCTTCCCCCCGCTGGAACTTCCCCCGCGCCCAAGTCTCCCCTCTTCCGCACGCCCTCGCTCGGCGCCCCTGTGCGAATCGCCGCCGCTAGAGAACAACAGCCGCCGCCCATGTTTCTCCCGCCCACCGCCTCCGAGCCCCTTCCGATAGCAGTTCCGCTCTATATTCCCCCCGACCACCCCCCTCCGGGGCCCGCGGACCGTTCCTTTGCGCCCAGCTGCGCGTATGAACAGCGGGGCCCGCCGCCACGGGGACCGGCGGGGCCGCTCGCGCGGGGAAACGGCGGCGGAAATCCCGCCGCCTGCGGCGCCGCATCCCACCGCGCTGCGCCGATTCCGCGCCACTCTTCCCTCCCTCTTGCGGCTTCCGCCTATCCCAGCGGGAACTATTCTTCCGCCGTTACAAACAGCCCATATCCCGCTCCCAGTAACTTTCAAAGACACGCGAAAGAGCCTGCTGGTAACCCGGTAACCAGCAGAGACGGCAGCGGGAAATCCGTTCAGGCGGGCGGGTGGGAGAAACCGTTTATTCATCGGTCCACGTCAGCACCCGTGCCTGATGACGAGGCTTGGGAAGAGGAAAGGGAATATGGGGAAGATGGGGAGGAGGAAGAAGAGGGGGAGGACTGGGAGGAGGAGATGGGGGAAAACGAGATGGCGGCTGAAGGGGAAGGGCGCAGGGGGGAGATGAGCGGCGCGGGCGGATGGGGAGTGAGCGCGCGGACTGGGGGGGCGGCGGGAGGGGAAATGCGGGGGTGGCGCGGAGAGGAACCCCGGCGGCAACTGGACAGCGCTTACCAGACGAGCCCGTACAACCAAGAACAGCAGCAGCAGCAGCAGTCGCATCTTGCGAGACATTTAAGCCTGGAGCCGCATTTGACAGACAACCGCTGCGCGCAAACGCGGGGGGACGGGGAGCGGGCGGAAGGGCGGGAGGGGAGAGGCGCGAGCCTGCTGCGCCAAGCATCGGACGGGCAATGCCTGGCGCGCAACGGCGGGTATGGGCGGGGGACACGCGGGGACGCGCAAGACGGGCAGGACAGGCAATACCCGGACAGGCACTACCCGGATAGGCAAATCCCGGACAGGCAACAGCCGGACAGGCAACAACTGGACAGGCAACAGCAGGTTAGGCAACAACCGGACAGGCAACAACCGGACAGGCAACAACAGTCTGACAGGCAACAACCGGACAGGCGTCATCTGGACAGGCGGCATGCGGACGGCATGTACGTGGACAGGAGCGAGCCGGACCGCGAGCGGCTTATAGAGCTGCGACTGCGGCGCGTGGAGCGGCGGCGGCAGCAGCAGTGGCACCACGAACGGCAGCGCAAGGCGGCGCACCGACTTATGGCGGAGCGACGGCAGCAGTGGGAGCTGTGGCGGCAGCAGCAGGGGCAGGGGCAGTGGCAGGAGGAACAGGGGCAGCAGCTGTGGCAGCAGCAGCAGCAGCAGCGGCAGCAGGGGCAGCAGTGGCAGGGGCAGGAGGAGCAGGGGCAGAAGCAGGGGCAGCAGGGACAGGGGCAGGGGCAAGAGCAGCAACAGGAGTGGTTCCAAAAGCAGCAGCAGCAGCAGCAGCAGCAGCAGCAGCAGCAGCAGCAGCAGATGTATGAGCAGCAACAACCAGAGAGAGGCGAATACGAAAGGGAACAGACAACCACGTCACCTTACCAGTCTCTCGCCCATCGCACACGTTCGCTGCCTCAACACTACCAGTCTTGCACTGGCACTGCTCTCCCCAGCAATCCTACCTGCACCAGCCACCTGCAACGTGCTGCGTCAGACGGACGCGCAATAACCGGCCAGGTGGCACCTAACCGAGATTCACCTGACTGTGATTCACCTGACCAGGTGGTTCCTGCCCAGGTGCTAGTGCCCAACCAGGTTGCACCTGGTCAGGTGGTTCCTCAGCTGCTGCCGAGCAGGTCGCTGCGGCAGCTGAGGAGAATGCCCCCTCTTGATACAAAAGCGCAGAAACAGCAGCCAGACCCTCACAGAGAGCGGGCAGACACACAGGCACAGCGGGCATGCCTAGCTGCTCCAGAGCCGACCCAATCCTCCTCGTACCAAACCTTGTCCCAATCTCCTCCTCCTTGCTCCTCCCCTTACTCCCCTGCTCACTCCCATCCCTACACCTCCCCTTGCTCCCCTCCTCTCTCTCCTCCTGCATCCACTGGAACCGCCATCTGCCACTCCCCTTCCCTCTCCTCGCCCAGTTCCTCTTCCTCCTCCTTCGTGTGGCCGAGGGGAAACGGGCCCGACTTTGGGGCAGGCGGGAGGGCTGCGCTGGGGGGAGCGGACAAGTGGGTGGCGTGCTTTGTCCCGCAGTGCTGGAACCGCAATTGAGGGTATGAGATTTGATACTGGAGGCACGTGCTGCTGTGGGGTGACAAAGAGGCAGGCAGGGAGAGAGAGACGGGGTTGCTAAGACATGCCTTGCGACAATGCCATGTGTGCTGCACTCCTGGCATTGCAATGGCGTGATGTGCCCTTGCTATTGGTGTGCTGTGCTGTGCTGCCCATATCGCACTTGTAGAGTGCTGTTGTGCTGGAGGCCCTACCCTGTATTGTTGTAGGGTATCCAAATCAGGAGCTTGTACATTCTGCAACACAGCTATTGCTCAGCACCACTTTGTATAGACAAACTTCGGTGCGGGCATGATATCAAATGCGCCTATCACTTGAAACCCTCCAACAAGTGGTAATGAATCAACCTGGACTGCACTGCATCGAACATAAAATTCACTTGCACCGGTACAACATTTCTCCCATAGAGGCATCTTATTCCTGACACGAGATACCATACTTTCCCGGTACTTGTGCCTGTAAGAGCTGAGAGGTGCATCAATCTAAACACAAGATCCAACATTAACTCTTAGCACTGTTCGATGAACACTGAACAGCCTTTCCCCCAACCATGTACCACACATGCCATCTCCCCGTCCTGTCCTGTCCTCTCCAAAAGGCTGCTGAAACACACAGCCACGTGCACCCGGCCTTACTTCCTCACTCAACGCTGCACAGAAGCCTGGTGCTCGATGCAGTGGGGAGGGGGGAGGGGCGTAAGGAGAACAGGTGGGGCGGGTGGGGGATTGCCAGGAAGAACTGAGCGGGAAGAATCTCTGGTAGAGCAGCCAATGGTTGCTCCTTTTCTAGTGCCCCAGTGCTATTTCCGAGGCGCCTAAAAGCAAGCCGGCCGTCAGAGCATGCCGCCTCTCAGTCATCCCCATAGTCTGCAACGATATGCCCTCAAGACCACACAAGCAGCTCACCTTATGAGTCGACTCAAAAGTCAGTCATCCCCATAGTCTGCACCCACATGCCCTCAAGACCACACAAGCAGCTCACCTCGTGGCAAGTCAACAGCGCGCACAGCAGGTGCACCTCCCCCATGTGCCCCTCCCCTCTCCTCGTCTCCTCATCACAGCACCAGTCGGTCATGCGGGTATATGGAATCGGGATCCTTAATTTGGGGGTTACGCCGCAGCACTTCCCCCACGCTCCGCCTGAACCGGTCTGCAATGGTGCTCAGCGTATCCCCCTCCTACACCTCATACATCCCCCCCTCCACACCCTGTCACAGCACCAGCCTGTCATGCGGGTAAATAGCATCGGGATCCCTAATCTGCGGGTTGCGCCGCAACACTTCCCCCACACTCTGCCTGAACTTGTCTGCAATCGTGCTCAGAGTATCCCCCTCCTGCACCTCATACATCCCCCCCTCCGCCCTCCCCCCACCCTCGCCTCCTTCTCTCCCCTCAGCGCTCTCCTCCTTCCTGCGAGCCTCTTCGTACCCTCGGCAGAGGTCCGAGTACCTCTCCTCGTCCAGGCGACTGCAGGGAGGGGGAAAGGAGGGAAGGGAGAGGAAGGGATCGTCAAAGGTGCACTCGACAACAGGATAGGGGCTGCATAGCTCCTCCCCTCAGCGCTCTCCTCCTTCCTGCGAGCCTCTTCGTACCCTCGGCAGAGGTCCGAGTACCTCTCCTCGTCCAGGCGACTGCAGGGAGGGGGAAAGGAGGGAAGGGAGAGGAAGGGATCGTCAGAGGGTGCACTCTCTTCCCACAACCGACAACAGGATAGGGGCTGCATAGCTCCTCCCCTCAGCGCTCTCTTCCTTCCTGCGAGCCTCTTCGTAGCCACGGCAGAGATCCGAGTACCTCTCCTCGTCCAGGCGACTGGAAGGAACCGAGGGGAGGGGGGGGGGAGGGGGAGGGGGAGGAAGGGATCGCATCAGAGGGTGGACTGGACAAGCAAGTAGCCTCTTTGAAGCCCCGGCAGAGATCCGAGTACAGGCGACTGCAAAGGGAGGGAAGAGGGGTGGGGAGGAAGACGGGGGGAATCAAGATAAGGAGGTCTCGACAACAGAATAGCAGCTGCATAGCCCAGGCAGAGGTCCGAGTACCTGTCCTTGTCGAGGCTTTTGAGTCGACTCAAAAGTCAGGCAGAGGTCCGAGTACCTGTCCTCGTCGAGGCTTTTGAGTCGACTCAAAAGTCAGGCAGAGGTCCGAGTACCTGTCCTCGTCGAGGCTTTTGAGTCGACTCAAAAGTCAGGCAGAGGTCCGAGTACCTGTCCTCGTCGAGGCTTTTGAGTCGACTCAAAAGTCAGGCAGAGGTCCGAGTACCTGTCCTCGTCGAGGCTTTTGAGTCGACTCAAAAGTCAGGCAGAGGTCCGAGTACCTGTCCTCGTCGAGGCTTTTGAGTCGACTCAAAAGTCAGGCAGAGGTCCGAGTACCTGTCCTCGTCGAGGCTTTTGAGTCGACTCAAAAGTCAGGCAGAGGTCCGAGTACCTGTCCTCGTCGAGGCTTTTGAGTCGACTCAAAAGTCAGGCAGAGGTCCGAGTACCTGTCCTCGTCGAGGCGAGGCCGCTGCACGCACGCGGCATGGGCAGCACAGGACCGATAAGAGGAGGTGTGAAACCCCCGTGTCACATGCGGCTGCCACCAGCACCCATCCGCACCCACCACCACCCACAATAACCGAGCAGCACCCATCTGCACCCACCAGATCTCAGCCATGCTGCGGCGATCCCCATGCAAGCGGCGGATTACCATCTCCCGATGCTGCCTCAACGCCAGCTCCGCCTGCTGCCACCGCGGCAGCGGCTTGGGTCCCCTGCGCCACCCTCCACTGCTGCTGCTGCTGCTGCTGCTGCTGGTGCTGGTGCTGCCGTCAGTGGTGCTCGTGGTGTTTGTTGCTTCTCCCGCTGCATTCCGCTGCGAGCCGAGGGACATGAACCAGGGGCGTCTGGGAGAAGGGTGCGCGGGCAGGGAGAAAACAGGGGAAAGGGGAACACAGAGCACAGTGGCGGCATGAATATGGAAATGTCAGTCCCATTGCCTTCGAGTTGAATGACCATCTCCCTCTGCTGCCTCAACGCCAGCTCTGCTTGCTGCCACCGCGGCAGCGGCTTGGGACCCCTCCGCCACCCTCCACTGCTACTGGTGGCGTTGCTGCTGCTGCCGGTTGTGCTGGTGGTGTTTCTTGCTTCTCCTGTTGAGGTTGAGTTTCGCTGCGACCCTAGAGACATGAACCAGGGGCGACTGGGGGAAGGGTACGGGGACATTGAGGGAACGGGAGAGGACGGGGGACACAGAGCACAGTTGCATTCAGTCGAATGACCATCCATCTCCCCCTGCTGCCTCAACACCACCTCCGCCTGCTGCCACCGCGGCAGCGGCTTGGGTCCCCTCCGCCACCCTCCACTGCTGCTGCTGACGCTGCTGCTGCTGGTGGCGTTGCTTCCCTGCCCTGCTGGGTTCCGTTGCGAGCCGAGAGACATGAACCAGGGGCGACTGGGGAAAGGGTGCGGGAAAGGAGAGAACAGGGAGAGAGCAGGGGAAAGGGGGACACAGAGCAGAGTGGCAGCGCGAGAATGAAAGTGTCAGTCCCACTGCATTCAGGTGAGTGACTATCCATCGCCCTCCGCCACCACTGCCATGCCATGCGTTGCTGTGCCATGCCATGCCATGCCATGCCATGCAATGCCAAGTCCTGCTAATCCATAATCCAGATCATGTCATCCCATGCCATGCCTGCCTTGCCATGCCATGCCAATCAATGACAGTAGCACCCATGGCAGCAGCGGCCATGACACCGGCAACACCACCAGTACTCACCGCGCCTCCCGTCTGCCCAGCCCTGTCCGCTCCTCCTGCCCAGCCGCCCGCTCCGCCCCTCCCTCTCTCCCCCCATCTCTGCCCCCGCCCCTCCCCCTCTCCCTCCCTGCCTCGCTGCCCTCATTCCCCTCGCCCTCGCCATCTGGAGCGTCGGAGGACGCAGCAGCCACAGGCGAGTCCCCAAAGTTGAGCTCAAACACGCCGCCGAAGCCCCTGCCATGGTGGGAAGGGCAGGCGGAGAGGAGGGAAATCGGGAAGGCGAGTGGGGATACGGGAAGACGGGATGCATGGGGAACCACTAGGAACGGCCACAGGCGAGTCCCCAAAGTTGAGCTCAAACCCTGGGATGGTGTGAGCGGCAGATGGGAGAAGGAAGGAAGGAAGGAAGGGGGGGAGGAGAGAGTGGGGAGAAGGGAGGAGGATGGAGGCGGAACCGCCAGGGGCGGCCACAGGCTATGTGTGGAGAGGGAGGGAGGGGGGGCTGCAACTCAACTTGTGCTTATGCGTGGTTGATATCGGCCTTGCAACAGAAGAGTGACACTCGCATGTTGAGGTGTGGCCCTTGCGCAACGTGGTCGGTAAAACTCGCACTAACTACCACATCAGCATGCATCGCACTGCACCGCATTGCACCTTCTCATTGCATTCTCTTACAAAGAGCACATGCCGCTCACATGTTGAGGTGTGGCCGCTGTGCGATGTGGTCGGTGAAACTCGGCCTCTCATACTCCAGTGCTCGCCTGCAAAGAAAGAGACGGTCCAGTGCGGTGCAATGTGGTGCAGTGCAATGCACGGAGGTGTGGTGGTGAGGTAGTGCAAGGAAGCAGCAGAATGGACTTTACAAGAGAAAGGACCTTATCCGAGCCTCACTTACCGCACCACAGCATTTGAGCCACCTCACAAGCACAGTCTGCTCATCCCCACTCCGGTCCTCCCGTCCTACTCACCTCCGCCTCCCATCTCCCTTCCGCCCACTCACCTCCTCTCCTATCGCTTCGTCCCCTCTCCTCTCCTCTCCTCTCCTCTCCTCTCCTCTCCTCCCCTTCCCCCTTGCCTCTCCCCTCCTCCCACTCACCTTCACCTCTCCTCTCCCCTTCCTCCCACTCACCTCCTCCTCTGCCCTCCCCTCCTCCCACTCACCTCCTCCTCTCCTCCCGCGTCCGTCTGTTACTCTTATTCGCCAGCACCATCGCCCCACCCACCAACGCCACAGCCCCAGCAGCAGCAACCAGATCCCACACCCCTCTCCGCCTCTGCTCGCCCTCCCCCTCCCCCACCAGACCCAGCGCGTGACTGTGGCTGCGGTGACTGCCGCGGGTGTGACTGTGGCGGGAGAGTGAGTGAGTGCTGTGGAGAGCGGTGGAGGTCGAGGAGGCGTTGGAGTGAGTACGAGAGAGGGGGGAGGCCACTCTGCGAGGACTGCTCAGGTGGTCCGGCTGTGGTAGGGGGAGGAAAGGGGGCAGGAGGGAAGAAGAGATAGTAAGTAAGAGGGAGAGGGAGCAGAGAGAGAGGGGAGGCCACTCGGCGAGGACTGCTCAGGTGGGCGGCTGGTGGAGCAGGGGAACAGGCCACGGGTAAGGGGAAAGGCGGGGGGGCGGGAGAGAGAGAACAGGCATGGGGAGAGCGAGTGAGTGCTGTGGAGGGCGGTGGAGGAGGAGGAGGAGGAGGAGGAGGAGGAGGAGGAGGAGGCGTTCAAGTGAGTGCTGGAGAGGAGTTGACGGGGACTGCTCAGGTGGTCCGGCTGGTGGAGCATGGTGGGTGTGGGGTGGGGTGGGAATGGACACAAGCTCAGCCGAAGGAGAGGAAGGCTTGGGAAATGCACGCACATGAACAGAAGGAGGGGCAGGAGAGGTGCGGAAGAACCAGGGAGGGGAGGGGGGGAGGGGGGGGGTTGTGAGGGGGAAGAGTGAAGGCGAGAGTGGGAAGGGGAGGGAGGGGGGTGGGGGTTGACGATCGGGAGAGCGAGGGAGAGCGAGGGAGAGGGGGGGACGAGGACATACGAGGACCGGGGTGAGGGAGGTGGGGTCGGGCGGAAGGAAACGGGGAGACACGTCCACCGGAGCAGCAGCAGCTGCAGCTGCACTGGTTGCCAGATGACGCTCCCCACTCTGCTTCTGCTCTAAACAGTGGTGATATTCGCTCAGACGTCGACTGTTCTGGCGAGCTTCCGAAGCAGAAGCGTGGCTATGTTGGTCAGTGTGCTGACGGTACTGATGGTGCCCGTGCTGCTGCTGTTCGTGCCCCTCATGCGAACGATTCTGCTCGTGACGTGCCCCACGCACACGATCACATTCATTCGAGTGCTGACTGCGGCGATGGTACACATGCCGCTGCTCGTGGCTCTCATGCCACGCATCCGCCCTGTCGCCCCTCCAATCATGTGATCGCACCGTTGCACTACCTGCAACTGCCACACCTGCTACAGCTGCACGCTCTGTACGCACTGCCGCTGCTGCTGCTGACACTGCTGCTACTGGCGCTCCTCCCACGGGCCTCCCATGCACACGGAGCGACGGAAGGCCAGCAGGTATGGCACCCACCATGCTGCGCCTCTCCTCCTCCTTCAGCCCAAACCAGGCCGGTGCATTCTGGGGTTCGGCTGCATGCGGCTTTTGACTCGAGTCAACACCTGGGGAAACACCTGCTTCTCCGTTGGTGCTTGAAAGCGCCTCTGAGTCTGGTGGCTCTGAATCTAACGATTCTCTGGCAGCTTCTAGAGTAAACAGTTGTTGCTGCTGATTCTGCTTCTCCTGCTGTTGTTGCTGCTGCTTCGGCTGGTCAGACTTGAAGAGAGGAGTAGTGGTGGGAGCAGGAGGGCCTGCAAGTGCTGCACCTGCTCCTGCAGCTGCCGTCTCGTCTCCTCCTCCTGCGCCTAATTCACCATAGTCCGGACTCAAGAAAAGCCCACTCATGTTGTCAGCAGCAGCACCAGCAGCAGCACCAGCAGCAGCGGCGGCAGCAGCAGCAGCGGCAGCAGCAGGGGTGGTGGAGGGAAGGGTGATGGAGGCCGCGCGGGTCAAGTCAGCGAGCGAAGGGGCGAGAGAGGACGGCTGAGCACAAGGATTGGATGAGAAGGAGGTGGCAGAGGTGGAAGAGGAGGAGGAGGAGGAGATGAGTCTCTGGCGGGCAGCAGAAGAGGCAGTCACCATTATGCCGTCGAAATCCTGATGCACACAGATGCAGGGAGACAGGCACGCAGGGAGGCGGAGACGCAGGGAGTATGAGCCTCTGTTAAGAATTTTCAAAATTGACACACGCAGGGAGCCAGGCACGTAGGGAGAAAATGAGTCTTTGGCGAGTAGCAGAGGAGGAGGTCGAAATCCTGACGCTCACGAGCAGGGGGCAGAAACGCACAGATGCAGGAACGCAGGCAGGCAGGTCGGCAGATTGTACACAAGCAGTTCCGGGCAGGGGAAACAAGTATCAACAACAATGACGACAACAACATGATGCCATTGCTCTCACCCGAATGCCCACTAGCCGCTTGGACAGTGTGCGCAGGCACAGGCAGACACGCCGAACGTCCCTGCCATCCACGAGGTCAGGTGAGGTGAAGAGCGATACGTCCCTCAGACCCACACGCCGACACACCTGGGGAGAAAGGAGGGGGACACCAGGGGAACAGAGGGGGAAGAGGGGGGAGAGCAGGGGACATGGCCGTAAGGGGGTGCTGAACGTCCCTGCCATCCACAAGGTCTGGCGAGGTGAAGAGCGATACGTCTCTCAGACCCACCCGCCGACACACCTGAACGGGAGAACGGGGGACATGAGTGTAAGGGAACGGTGAGCTTCTCTTGAAACTACGAGGTCGGGCGAGGTGAAGAGCGGTACGTCTCTCAGACCCACAGATCCATCCAGCACAGCCACACGAGGAGTGTCGGCTACTATTTTAGGCGCCTCAAAAACCGCCTCACTACACGCTTACTGTTGAGGCTCCTCATGAATTTATCCCGCACAGCCACACGAGGAGTGACGGTTATGCAGGCGAATTTTGGCATCGTGTGAACGCCCACACCAGCGGCTCTCACCTTGAGAAATCGTTCCACGTTGGTGCACGCATGCCAGTACGCGCGCTTAAAGCCCGACCCACCACTCTCCTCACTGGAACGGCCCCCGTTTGCGCTGCTGCTGCTGCTGTCACCACCAGCACTAACATCAACGCCACCCTCAGCAGCACCGTCAGCAGCATCAGCAGCCGCAGCGGCGGCGGCAAAAGCACCACTCTCGGCAGTGGGGGCGGTGGGAGGTTTTGCAGGCGGGGCGGAGTCAAAGTTCGGAGTCAAGGGGACACTGTCGGAGGGGGGGCCGTCGGGCGCAAGCAGCTGCTGCACCAAGCAGGCGAGCTCGAGGCTGTATGGGGGGAAGGTCGTGGGAGGGAGGTGGACGAGTGGGGGAGAGGGGAGTGGAGAGGTTCTAAGACGTCTTGACATAGGATGCAAAGACGGGCGCAGACAGCTGCTGCACCGAACAGGCGAGCTTGAGCCTGGAGCGGGGGAGGGAGGCGGGGGACGAGAGGGGGAGAGTCGAGTGGGAAACATTGGAAGGACTGAAAGGAGAGAGGGTAGAAGCGGCAGCGCGAGGCTCGAGTACGTGAGACGTGGATTTTTGAAACGGAAGCTGATGGCAGGGTGGGTGCGGATAACAGGTACCAGGGGAGACGAGGGGAAGAAGGTGAAGTAACATTGGGAATACGCGGGTAGAAGCAACGAACGAAGAGGGCACCGCGCAATAGGTTCAATGCGAAAGGCATCCGGAATTCAAGAGGCTAAGAAGCATCGTCTCGAAGCATTGAGAAGTAGAGGCATCGACGACTACTATAGGCATCGACGACTAGAGGCAACGAGGACTCACAGTATTTCGCCATCCCCTAGCAGATCGCTCAACGGCTTATCGGCGGGAAGCGTTCGCGACAGAGTCTGCGACAGCCAGCGACGAGCTTGCGACTGAATGGAGCGAAAGAGGGCACGCGTGCGAAAAAAAGGAGGAAGAAAGAAGAGGTGAAGAGCGTCGCAACTCTAGGAAACCACGGGATACAGGAGCGAGCATCTTCGCTATGGACGTAATAACTTCAAACGAAGCTTGGAAGCTTTGAAGCAGAATGACATTTCGCAGATCAGGCTCGATCACATGACTATTGAGTCGAGCTAAAGATCACCTACAGCACATGACGATTGGTTCGAACTAAAGATCACTTATACCACATGCATCTGCACTGACGCGGCGCTACCTCTAAGTACTGCTCGTCGATGGACGCAGCTCCGCTTATTACACTTGCGACGGTAAGCGGAATGTGCGACTGCGCTGGCTGCGCCGCCGACGCGGAGAGGTCAGATGCTACCATTGCGACGACAAGCGACAGATCGGTTTGGCTGACGAAGATCCTGCGACAATAGCTCAATAACTTAGCCGACCAGATCTTGAGATAACGAGACTATGTCTCTCCACAAAGACTAGATGGCGGGTCGGCAGCACCCTTCGCATCGACGCGCTACGACGTGCATCTGCAAGAGATCGCCACTTTAGGACCGCCACTAGTTGCCTGATCGCAGGTGACTCTTTGCTGGTTGATGGACTCTGTTCTGTGTTCGCTGCGACTGTCGTTCTGTGTTCCTTTCTCGAGGAGCGAGAATGTCGGGGTGGGAAGTAAGCGGAAGTGATGTGCGCGGGAGAGCGGAAGAAGCACGCCAAGCTCTCCAGCCTCGGCTGATTCTGTCTTCCGCCAAGCGCAAGCTTTCCGCGGACTTTGGGGGTGATCTCGATGGAGGGAGCAACGCGGGAAAACTGACGCAAGGTCGCTGATTGGCTGACCTCGAATTGGCGGCATTAGGGAAATCCCCAGGTTGTCAGGCAGGGAAAGTGGAGGCCGTTTCGTTTAGTGCTGGACCAGTTAGCTAGGTATCACTTTATCAGCAACGAAGCATATGAATTTAGTATGTCCTGAGATTTCAGACATAAGCCCATGGTCATTAGTCAAGTCACCTCAGCTAGATACAACTATTTTTAGAGAACATTAGCAACTCAAGTTTTATTATATTCATACAGCAGCAGTAGAGAACATTAGCTTGGTACTAGATACTAAGTCTCATGCATTCCTAACAGCTCTTGCTGTTACTCCAACAATGAAGGTAGCAAGTGGTTACTGTTGCAGACACTGTATAGTGTTGATACATGTGGTAGAAACCTGCAGAGGGCCACGAATTAATGTTAATACTCTGACAGAGACTTCAAGGAATGAAAACAGAGAAAGCAGAACAGCTCACCTGGGTATAGGTTGAGTTGAATGTCTCAAGCCTTAAAGGAGCTGGCTGCAGGCAGGAGGCATTGAGCCATCCTCCCCCACCACAGGGAGGACTGGCCTTTAAGGCATGCGCCATCCTCCCCCACCACAGGGAGGACTGGCCTTTAAGGCATGCGCCATCCTCCCCCACCACAGGGAGGACTAGCTGTTGGAGGTTTAAGCCATCCTCCCCCACCACAGGGAGGACTGGCCCACCCTCAGGGTTGCTAGTATCAAGACTTGCGGGAGCCCATGTGCACACGCTGGTTCTGTCCTTTTGGACCCCCATCAAGTAGCAGAGCTGCTGCAGTCAGCTCTGCTACCCGACAGAACCATTGTGTGTGTATGGCCCGGATTCGAGATTAGCCAACCCCAAGAGTACTCTCAACCATGCCTTGGTGCCTTCAATGCCACTTGCCACTCCACCCCTCCTGGGGCATCTGCAGGAGACAAGAGCAAATGTCAGTACCTTGGAATGAGTAATAAGAAAAAGCTGGAAGTTAACATATGTACCTTTGTAAAGAGGATGGAGAGGGCCTTGAGTGGAAACTGTTGGTCGAAAGCCTCCACTGCTGAAATACCTGCAGGGTGAAAAAACTAATGTCAGTCTGGGTGCGGAAGCAAATAAAAAGAAGGTTGAAATCACTACCTTGGTGGCCTTGAATGTTGAAATGTCTTGACTTGTTGAAGATCTTGAGGGACGAGTGGTCGTTGAAGGGCTCGAGTGGTGACGTAACTGCGGAAAGGAAACAAAGAGACGTTAGTCAAGGTTAAAACGAAAAACGAACAAGAAACAATTTAAGAGGTCAAGAACATTACCTTGGGGGCCTTGGAGCTTGGGATGTGATGCTGATTGTTGAAGGTCTTGAGAGGCAAGTGGCTGTTGAAAGGGCTTGAGTGGTGAGGCACCTGCAGAAAGAAACCAAGGAGAGTCAGTCAAGGTTGAAACAAACCACGGACAAGAAACAAGACAAATCAAGAGCGTTACCTTGGGGGCCTTGGGTGTTGGGATGTTTATATGTTGATCATCTTGAGAGGGAGATGGCTGTTGAAGGGCTCAAGTGGTGAGGTACCTGCATAAGTAAACAAGGAAACGTCAGTCAAGGTTTTAACAAAACAAAGAACAATAAACAATTTAAGAGGCCAAGAGTGTTACCTTGGGGGCCTTGGATGTTGGAATGCTTGAGTGTCTTGACTGGTAAGTGGCTGTTGAAGTGCTTGATTTGTGAGGTGCCTGTGGAAAGAAAACAAGGAGTTGTCAGTCAAAGTTGAAAAGTTGAACAACACTTAACCACTGAAAGTTGAGAGCTTTACCTTGGATCCCAAGGCTTGAAAACTTTGAAGGGACTTGGTGGTAAGCATTATCTTCAAAGCAGCCAGGTAGGTTCTCTTGGTTGACCGCGCATCGTTGATAAAAAGACCTGCCAATCAAAGGAAAGGTTGGGGAAGAAAATGTTAATAAAAGTGGCACTAGGAGCTCCATAGAGGACCAAGGCATGTATCATGCGCATGATGGGAAGGATAGAGTAGCATAGATGTATGAGTGCTCACCACCACATCCACAAGAGCCAAGTACCAGAAAATACCTCAAGAGACCTGAGGATCTCACCAGAGAAGAGTACCTTATACCAAATACCTGACCAGCTAAGGGGGAATGGCTCATGCGGTGACGGTGGGAAGCACTCATGCATACATGCTTGAGAAGGTGCATGAGATGATGGAACCGAAACCATGGTGTAAAAGCTCGAAATACCAGAGGCGAGGATCGAGAGATACTTATCTTCAGATGTGCTCGCTCTAGCTGTGCCTTCATATGCTTCAATGTTGGCTCCAGGATCTTGGGATGTGATGCCAATTGTTGAAGGTCTCGAGGGGCAAGAGGCTGTTGAAAGGGCTTGAGTGGTGAGGCACCTGCAGAAAGAAACCAAGGAGAGTCAGTCAAGGTTGAAACGAAAAACGGTCAGGAAACAAGGCAAATCAAGAGCGTTACCTTGGGGGCCTTGGGTGTTGGGATGTTTATATGTTGAACATCTTGAGAGGGAGATGGTTGTTGAAGGACTCAAGTGGTGAGGTGAGGTACCTGCGGAAGTAAACAAGGAAACGTCAGTCAAGGTTTTAACAAGACAAAGAACAATAAACAATTTAAGAAGCTAAGAGCGTTACCTTGGGGGCCTTGGATGTTGGAACGCTTGATTGTTGAACGACTTGAGAGTGAGTGGCTGTTGAAGAGCTTGATTTGTGAGGTGCCTGTGGAAAGAAAACAAGGAGTTGTCAGTCAAAGTTGAAAAACGCTTAACCACTGAAAGTTGGGAGCTTTACCTTGGATCTGAAGGCTTGAAATCTTTGAAGGGACTTGGTGGTAAGCTTTTTCTTCAAAGCAGCCAGGTAGGTTCTCTCGGTTGATTGCCCGGCGTTGAGAAGAAGGCCTGCCAATAAAAAGAAAGGTTTGGGAAGAAAATGTTAATAAAAGTGCCACTAGGAGCTCCATGGAGGACGAAGGCATGTACCATGCGCATGTTGGGAAGGATAGAGTAGCATAAATGTATGACCGCTCACCACCACATTCACACGAGCCAAGTACCAGAAAAATACCTCAAGAGACCTGAGGATCTCACCAGAGTACCTTATACCAAATACCTGACCAGCTAAGGGGGAATGGCTCGTGTGGTGATGGTGGGTAGCGCTCATGCATACATGCATGAGAAGGTGCATGAAATGATGGAACCGAAACCATGGTGTAAAAGCTCGAAATACCAGAGGCGAGGCTTGAGAGATACTTATCTTCAGATGTGCTCGCTCCAGCTGTGCCTTCAAATGCTTGGAAGTTGACTCTGCTGCTTCAATGTTGGCTCCAGGATATAGCTTGGATGATGGCTTGAAGGCAGGACCGTGACATTGATGTTGCTCCCGATGGTGTCCAAGAAAGTAGAGCATCTGCCATTGAAGGACAGAGGAGGGAGAGTGGGTGAGTACATGTAGCAGCGGAAGATCCAAACGAGCAAGAAAAGTAGGCATGTGCGTGACGGGTGCTACAGGTACGTAGGAACACAATGCAAAAGCGCTTAACACCACAGCTATAAGAGCCAAGTACCAGAAATACCAAGAGAGACCTGAAGGACTCACCAGAGAGAGTACCTGATAAAAAACCTAAGGGGAATGGCTCCTATAGCAGTTGTGGTAAGCGCTCCAGCATGACAAAAAAACATTTACAGAAACGATGTGCGGAAAATGAAGTTGGGAGAAACGAGGAAAGATTGATACTTGTTATCGAAGTTCAGATCCTGATTGTTGGTTGACGCCTTGGCTGGGTGTATTGGCTTGGACGACTGGCTTCGAGTCTTGGTCTTGAGATGTTGAAACCAGGGGTGCTGCGGCCTTGCTTCTCCCAGGTGATTGAAGCATCGTAGCCGAAAACCTGCCAGCAAAACGAAGATAAGAAGACGTCTTAAGTTTACAGTAACGGAAGGATGCGATAAACGAAGAAATGCGACGAAGCATGTGGGAGGAAGCGGGTATTCCAGCCAAAAAACCGCACCGTAGAGCTCAGACTGACGGACGAATCTACGCACGACTTAGCGACGCTGACACTAGACAAACGTAGAGAGAGAATAACCCAGACCTAGGGGAAGAGACAGGGAGCTCTACGGGCGGATATTTGGCTGAAAAACAAACAAGCAGAACGGATGAAAAAACAGATTGCTGACACGATGAGGGTGAAGTGAGTACTTAGCTGGAAAGAAGGATGATCGGCGATGAACGTAGGCTTGAGGATTTAGGACCGTTGAGCTGGTTAAAGAATGTTGGATGGACGTGCCGCCAGCGTCGCGATGAGTGCAGATTGGGGGTCCAATGGCTTGAGTGATGCCAAACCGCGGGTCTTGAATGTCTTCATTCCACTGCACAAAGGTAAAAAACGCGAATGAGTACAAGTTGGTTGTGCAAACCGATTAAAACGGCACGCTCAAGACGAATGAAACGTTTGAAGGGAAACATGTAGGCTGACCTTGGAATGCTCGATCATGCTAGAGCAGCTTGCGAAACATGGGCGGAAACTCCAAGCTTGCACCGGTAAAAGTCGAGTTGCACACGAGCATATCTTGCACACATTGAGCTTGGAGATTGATGTGGAACCGTAACGGAGAAACTCTCCGCTGAGATTATGAAGCTAGGAGAATGTGCGAGACAAGAATGAAACGTTGCTATATATCATTGCCTAGCCACGGATCTACGACCTTGAGCAAAGTGACTACACGGTAGTAGATGAAAAACAAGGGAACCGAAAAGCGAGGATCACCCCACCAAAGCGACTCAGTTTCGAGTCGCATTCATTGGAGTTGGCGCTAACATCAACGGCTACGCGGCGGCTGTATGAGAATTAGGAGGCGACGGGCGTTGATGCAAGGGAGACACTGGCAGTAAATTGAAGTTGAGAGGAATACGGCTGATATGTCAGGGGTTGGCTGTGTGGGCCTGGGTGGGGCCTCTTGGGGTTTCATGAGTCATGACGAGTGAATGTGCGTTTGACCTTGGGGTTGGAGAACCCGGCGAAGAGTTGATGATGTGCGGATGGGGCGAAGTTGTTGGCCCACAACCAACTTCGTGATTGGTTCGTCAAAACCAGTTTGCGCTGCTTCCGCGGCGAACACGCGGGCTTTGGCAGATTTTGCAGAACACAGAGCGCGCGGAGCGCTGCGCACTGCACTGCGCAAAGCGGAGCGCACAGCCAGATAGGGTCGGCGGGAGGTCCCACAAAGGCGACCATGAGCATCCTCAATGATTGACCTTGTCGCGCATCATGCGATTGGTTTGCGAGAAACTCATCATGCGCCGGTCGCACAGTAGCACAGTCGCCCACCAGTTCCATGGTCCATCCATCCTTCATCCAGCCCAGTCTCTAGGCGGAAACGACGCCGATTTGGTCCAATGGGAGCAATTTCGTGCTTCGGGAGGTCGCACATCAATTCCCAACCACCAAGAGAGCTACCATGAAGTACCGAATGAGAACGCCATATATCTAGCCAGAATAGGCACTAACCGCATTCGTTGACAGAACCCGGGACCAAACCTGTCCCCCTTGGCTCGTTTTCCACCCAAACCAACCCACCCTGGTTTGTTTTGGCCTCGACTGTTTGGGAGTTCGCTGTGTTTTTTTCACCAGCTCGAATGGTCTTTGAGTCAGAATACACGCCACGTACAGAACAAGCCCAAGCCTCGTCTTCCCCAACCTCTCCTTCATTCTCCCCCGCAGCACCAGCAGTCTCCTGCCAAAAGCGCAGCAGCCATAAGCAGAAACCCTAGATTCCTCCCTATTCGACACAACACACGAAACTCGGGAACAGTTCCTGCGTTGGCGCTTTAGCTTCAGTTGTCTGGCAGTTCGACTGCGCTGGCAGGTCCTTGCCGGACCCCTTAGTGCTTAGCTCAACGACGAGGTGGATTCGGGCTTTGAGGTGGATTCTTGCATGATAGCTGTTCGAGTAGTATTTTGTTTATAAATACCTGGTTTTTCCGGTAGCCTGCTTAGTCCCGTGTCTCAACGCTGTTACTGTATCCTTTAATCAACGCACCTTCAAGCCCTGGCCTCGAGTGGTAGACTCAACTTACTGGTTACACTTAGGATATTTGGTCCCAATAACATTTTAGAAAGTGGCAGAGAGGGGGTGGAGGGAGCCGGCGAGGCTCCTTTCGCCGTCAACTCACGCCTGACGGACGTCAGTCGCGATGTCGGCGATCGTCTGCGGTAAGCGGTCAGCGTTCGAGGAGAGCACCGTCGAGGTCTTTCATCCAGCAAGCCGGTCCGCGTTCGACGACAGCATCTACGTCGCTCTGCCGCCCGTTTCCAAGCGAGGTCGCTGGTTGCAACCGTCGTCGCCGTCGCGCTGCGCGTGGGCCGAAGACCCGGCCGGAATCAGCGTGGGAATCCGCGGAGGGTCGTTCGCGGAGAAAGTGGTGCTGCTGCGAAGCATGTTCGGCGGCGTGGAGGAGCAGGTGAGCAGATATTTATTTCCTCTCTGGTGTTTTTCTTGTCAAGAAAAGGAGCAGATACCTGTGTTGGCTCTTATCGGTCTGTTTTCTCCTTTTCACCTGTTTCGCGAATTCGCCTTTCTCGCGCTAATGTCATCGCGTCAGCCTGACTGCAGTAACGAACACAATAACTCTTTTTCTCACCACCATCCCGTATTCCGCGTTTTTCTCCTATCGGCCGCGTCGCAGGTCGTACACCAGGTGCTGGAAGCGTGCAATCACGACATCGACTCCGCCATCCAGTCGCTCAAGGGTTTGCGAATCATCGCCGCGGATAACGCCGCGCTATCACACGCTCAGCTTCAACATTCCGCTGATCCCGCCGCAACTCGCGGTGGGTCCAATGGGCTGAACGCGTTGCTCGTTCGCTTTCGTGCCTTCTTGCGCGTGCAGCTTATTTCTCCCATTTTTTTGCTTGTCTCAATGCAAATGCCGTTACTCTGCTCCTTTCTCAAACTGCCATCCGTTTCATCTGACCCGTTTCATCTCTCAGTCGCGGAGCAAGCGGATCAACATTCGCCGACAACAGGGCAAGCGCAAACTTTGCAGCAGTCCCTACCAGGTCTAGCTGCTTCCGCGCCGGCATTAGTAGAATCAACAGCTGCAGCAGCCGGAGGAGGTGGAGGAGGGGAAGGCGATGGGGTTCCGTCGAGCGGTGCAGAGTGGGTAGAGCTGGTGGTGCGGGAGATGATGTCAGCAGTGGACGTTGCTGACGTCAGGCAGAAAGCAGCCATGGTTCTGGAGCAGTTTGAGAAGGAGGTGCGGAAACGATGCGAAGCCGCTGCTGCCGCTTCTGCTGCTGCCAGTGCTGCTGCCAGTCTCCCACAGGTGAGTGGAACTTCTGGCATGCCCTTCTAATTCCGGCATTTTGAAACCAGTCAATACGCGCATGTCCGCTTCTGCTGCTGCTGTTGTGAATCAAAGGCACGTTCACAGTCTCACAATGCTCAAGTCGGCGAATCACGTCCCACCCACTCCATCCCTCCGCCATTCACTCTGTGCAGGCAGCCGCCAATGGCGTTTCTGCGGGGGCACACGCGGAGCACCACGTGGCAGCGCTGGTGAAGGAGAATCAGATCTTGAAGCGAGCGGTGGCGATTCAGCATGAGAGGCAGCGCGAGCACGAGGCGAGGGAGGGGGAGCTTGTGCAGATGCGGCAAACGTTGGCGCAGTACCAGGACCAGATGCGGAAGCTGGAGGTGAGCAGATTGTTCCCTAAGCGAGGTAAGGCAGATGCTGGCACTGACGCTGGCGCAGTACCAGGACCAGATGCGGAAGCTGGAGGTGAGCAGATTGTTCCCTAAGCGAGGTAAGGCAGATGCTGGCACTGACGCTGGCGCAGTACCAGGACCAGATGCGGAAGCTGGAGGTGAGCTGATCATTCCCTAAGCGAGGTAAGGCAGACGCTGGCACTGACGCTGGCGCAGTATCAGGACCAGATGCGGAAGCTGGAGGTGAGCAGATTGTTCCCTAAGCGAGGTAAGGCAGATGCTGGCACTGACGCTGGCGCAGTACCAGGACCAGATGCGGAAGCTGGAGGTGAGCTGATTATTCCCTAAGCGAGGAAAGGCAGACGCTGGCACTGACGCTGGCACTGACGGTGGCGCAGTACCAGGACCAGATGCGGAAGCTGGAGGTGAGCTCTTAATCTCCAAAGCATCTGGCGCCGGTAAGGCAGGCGCTTGCTGGCTCAGTACCAGGACCAGCTGCAGAAACCGGAGGTGAGCTTCTCACTTTCTAAACCAGCTGGGGGCATGTAAGGCAGGCGCTGGCACATATTTAGACGAGCAGTGCACTTGAAGATCAGCAGGGAATGCAGGCACTGAGAGTTGGATTGGAGGTAAGCTCTTGATCCTTAGTTGGTGCAGGTACAGCAGGCGCGTCACAGCTTCAAGACCAGGCACTGGTGCAGGAAGGCAGGAGGCGCTGTTGCAGTGCCAGGAGCAACTGTGGAAGCTGGTGGTATGGTCCTGCTGTACGGTGTATTTGTGGCAGGATCTCATCCTTATTATTATTATTTTTCTTGTGGGGCTTGTGTGAGGGGTGGGGTGGGATGTTTGGTGTCATTGTGTGGCATGATGTGGCATGGTGGTGTGGCATGGTTTGGCATGGCGTGGCATGGGTGCAATGGGGTGTGCGGGGGTAATGGTGGGCTGTGCGGGGGTAATGGTGGGCTGTGCGGGGGTAATGGTGGGCTGTGCGGGGGTGCTGGTGCTGTGCATGGCAGGTGAGCAACTACGCCCTCAGCCTGCACCTCCAGAAGGCACAAGGCACGGGAACCATCCCCAACCGCTTTCACCCGGATGTCTTCTAACCGCACCGCACCCAACTCCTGCTGTGTTTCTATTCCTCCTTGTGCCTACATGCCGTAGCACAAAGCAGGACCAACTCTGCTTTGTGCAAAGTGCCTTCGTATTTTAGCAAAGCAAAGCAAGCATGGCACTGCAAGCATTGCGCTTGCACATTTTGTGTCCCTTGCATGCCCTCTCATTGTATATCTTTCTGTACAAATGCGGAGCTCCACATTGCTGGATGTTCTTGAACAAGTCAGCATTAGTTTAAATTCCTCTGTATCATGGATCTTACTGTACATCTGTCTCAAGAGTGGTTAGCAACGGAATAGTTGGAATAGAAACGAATGGGGTACAAATAAGCAACCCTAGAAGCTGTACCCCCTAGAGTGCAACTCACTACAGCCTATCATATCAATGTTCAACATTTGACACACCCCCATAGGCTAAGTGAGGGGCATCAAAGCAAGCAAGGTGAACAAATGGTCACAAGACCAGTCAAAGCAAGAACCAAGGCAAGCTCAGGGTGGATCTCAAGGACACCACACAAATTCCGAGCGCAAGCAAGCGGCCACAAGGCCAGTTCAAGAGTTCACTAGAATATAAATACAAAGCACAACAAGCAGAGCAAGCAACAGGACTACAGCAACCGAGGGCCTACCTCGACAAGCCCCAACTGCACACTGAACCTGTGGTGGTCACCAAGCGCCAAGGCCTTGGTGAAGACGTCTGCAGTGTTGGCCTCTGAGGCCACAAAGTCCAGGCGTGCCTGACCGCGTCGCTGCAGCTCTCGCAGGAGGAAGTACCTCACGTCAATATGCTTCACTCTGCTCTCCAGTCGAGGCTCTCGACACAGGAGGATCGTGGCCTTGTTGTCAGCGTACAAGGTCGGTGCAGAGCGAGGCCGCTCACTAAGGTCGGCGAGCAAGAAGGTCAACCAGCGAAGCTCCTGTGCCGCCATGGCACCCGCGTAGATCTCTGCCTCTGCACTGGAAGTAGCCACAGACGATGACCGTGTAGACCTCCACGACACAGCACCAGCTCCCAGACTGAAGCAGTAACCCTGAGTCGAGCGCTGAGTCTCCACGTCGTCAGCGTAGGAAGAGTCACAGTGACCAGTCAACGCCACTGGCTGAGTCCCTCCAAGCACAAGCCCCATGCCTGATGTAGTCGCCAGGTACTTCGCCACCCTCACAGCAGCTGTCCAGTGGACAGGGCGGTGTCTTCCAGTGGACAGGGCGGTGTCTCCCAGTCGCAACAAAGCGAGAAAGGATGCTGAGGGGAAAGGCGAGGTCCGGTCGAGTACAAGTCATCAGGTACATGAGGCAGCCCACCAGCTCTGCGTAGGGTCCACTGGACTCAAAGGGCTCGTCAGGAAAGGGGCCCGTGAGTCTGTGGTCAACAGCAAGAGGAGTGGGCTGAGTGGTGGAGAACTGGAAGTCGAACCGCCGAAGAACCTGCTGCACCATGTGTGACTACGTCAGTGTGATGGTGCGAGCGGCTCTGTCCCGGGTGATCTGCAAGCCAAGGTAACGCTGCAGCTCACCCAGGTCAGTGCACTTGTGTCTCTTCTGCAGTTCGGACTTCACCTGAGCCAGGGCTGCCCTGTCTGCTGTAGCAAACACCAAGTCGTCGACGTAGACAAGGATAAAGAAAGGAGTAGAACCCGCTCGAACAAACAGCGACGGGTCGGCGGAGGACGGGCTGAACCCAAGGTCACGAAGCGTGGAGCAAAGAGTGTCGTGCCACTCACGGGGCGACAGGCGGAGACCGTAGACTGGTCGCCTCAGGCTCCACTGGGTCCCAGGTGGGAAGGTGTCAGTGAAGCCAGGAGGACGGCGCAGCCAGATCTCCTCGTGTAGTCGGCCCTGGAGGAACGCAGTGGAGAAGTCGAGGGAGTGCAGCTCGTAGTCTCGCTGCGCTGCTATGTGGAGTAACACCCGAAGAGTAGTCATCTTCGGGGTCGGGGCGAAGGTCTGGAAGAAGTCAACTCCCTCACGCTGACTGAAGCCCCTAGCCACGTAGCGCGCCTTGAACACCGGCGGTGCTCCAGGCGGCCGCTTCACCTTGAAGAGCCACATGCCATCGACTACGTTCGCCCTGGGAGGGGGAACTGCGTCGACGTAGGTGCCTGTGGATCTCCAAGACGCCAACTCTGAGTCCATAGCCGCTTTCCACTGAGAGGCCCACGCCCCTGACACTGCCTCGCGGTAAGTGCGAGGAGTCGGTATGGGCGTCGGGGTCTACCTCAGGGGAGAGTAGCATGGCACACACAGAGGGAGAAGCGGCTGCCCAGTACTCCAGCTCAGACTCTCTGTCCTCTAGGACGTCACAGCCAAGGGCAAACCCACCCCCGACGGACAGAGGACGGTAGAGAGGAGCTGGCACCACACGGGTGGCGTAGTCAAGGCGGCTGGCGGCAGCAAAGTCAGCGACAGCGGCAGTAAGAGCCGAGACAGACGACGGAGGGAAACGAGAGTCGGTGACAAGAGTGGCGAGGACACGTGCGGCAACAGGACGAACAGCGCGGTAGTAGTCAGAGATAGGAGTGGGGAGGGCTGGGAGAGAGGACGGAGGAGGAGACGGGAGAACGGACACAGGAGAACGACGACGAGACGAACAAAGGAGGGCTGTGTGAAGGTCAGTAACAGGGGACGAGTGACGGGCACGTGGAGGACAACGAGTGATCAAGTCGTGACGGACAGAAGGAGGAGGAGACTGAAGAGGAGGAGAAGACCAGACCGCCGGACGGTCGTCAGGAGGAGGCAACGGAGGGACAAACACAGGAGGAGACTGGGAGCGGACAGGAGGAGAGGAGGTAAGGCCAAGGGTCCGCAGGCCACTCACAGGTGGGAACAACCGCCGCTCCAGAGGAAGCTGCGGTGGCGGCTGCGGCTGCGGCTGCTGCTGCTGCTGCTGCTGCTGCTGCCGCTGCTGCTCCAGAAGGTCCAGCACCCGCAGCTCCTGCCGCTCCCTCTCCAACCGATCCTGCTCATCACGCTCACGCCGACGGGCAGCCTGGAGACGCGTGTCGTGGCGGTGGGGAGGCGGAGTGGACTCCGCAGAACCAGGGTCTCCAGCGTCAGTCTCCTCAGACTCAGCACCCCCAGAACCAGCACCTCCAGTGCCAGGACCACCAACCTAGCACCCCCAGAACTAGCACCGCCAGTGCCAACACCTCCAACTCCAGCACCCCCAGAACTAGCACCTCCAGTGCCAGCACCTCCAGCTCCAGCACCCCCAGAGCTAGCGCCACCTGCGCCAGCACCTCCAGCTCCAGCACCCCCAGAGCTAGTGCCACCTGCGCCAGCACCTCCAGCTCCAGCACCCCGCGATCGAGCACCCCCAGACCGAGCACCACCAGCGGCTGCACCTCCAGCTCCAACACCAACCGAGTCCACAGTAACCTGTCGCGGAAGTGCCGAAGGCTGCTGAGGGGATTGTGAGGAGGACTGCGGGGAGGGAGACGCTACCTGGCGCGCGACCAAGGGTAGAGGGGTAGCGTGGGACACACCAGACGGGGCAGGACCAGGGGGGGCGGGGGTACCAGAGGAGCGGGAGCAGGAGGAGGAGAGGGTGCGAGGAAAAGAGGGGGAGGGGGTACCGGGAGACCTCGACAGGAGTACCGGGTGTAGTAGGACACGGACTCGTCAAACCGGACGTCACGGGAGTCTAGGAACTGGTGGAGGGGAGGGTGGTAAAAGGACCAGTCGGCAGAGTCCACTGGGAAACCAGGGAAGACACAGGGGACGGCGCGTGCCGAGAGCTTGTCCGCGGAGGTGTCGCGAACAAGCGCAAGGCAGCCCCAGACTCGAAAGGCCGACCCGACACCAGGGGAACCAGTCCAAAGACTGGTCGGTGAAGCCTCGGGCCGCGAGACACGCGGCTGGAGGTTCAGCTGGTGTGCGGCGTAGCGAACCGCGTGGGGCCACAGAAAATGGGGCGCATGGGCATGGATCATGGACGTGCGGGCGATGTCCATGACCAAGCCTATGCGGCGCTCAGCAACCTCATTCTGCTGTGGGGACTCTGGCAGCGTCCAGGACTGGGTGATGCCCTGTTCACCGCAGAATCCGCCGAGAATGCCGGAGCGAAACTCGCCCCCACGGTCGGAGTGGAGACAACTGACTCGACGACCACGAGTGCCCTCAGTGGCTAGAAGCCACCTGATCAGCGTAGCAGTCACCTCGGACTTCTTCGCAAGAGGGAACACTGTGGTGTACCTGGAGAAGTCGTCGACGACCACCAGAAAGTAACGCTCCCTCCCAGACCCCTGCGTCGGGGCAGGGCCCCAAACGTCCAAGTGGAGAGTCTCGAAGGGAGCGGTGGCCGGACGAAGCGAGGAGGAGTGGGGAGTGGCGCGTAAGCGACCGGCGACGCACGGAGAGCAAGGAGGGGCAAGCGAGAGAGGGAGCGACGGGAAGGTGCGTGGGAGACCTGTGACTAGTCCCTGACTGAGCATGCCACGAAGGCGAGGGATCGACGAGTGGCCAAGACGGTGGTGCCACAGGACGGTGCGGTGGGCGAGAGAGCGACAGGAGCAAGACGCAGCGACTGGACTGGACACAGCGACCGGACTGGACACGACTACCTGGCTAGACACAGCAACTGGACTGGGGACCTGGGCCGGAGGGGACGCAACGACCTGAGGGGAGGACGCGACCGGGGAGCGCTCGGTGTGGAGAACGTAGAGACCGGAGCGGGGCTCCCTGGTGAACGTGGCCAGAACAGCACCTGTGGTAGTGTCAGTACAGACTGCAGTCCGCCCACCCCCCACGGAGGTAACCTTGATCCCCCTGTCCTGGAGGTATCCAACACCCACCAAGTTCCGAGTGAACGAGGGGATGTGGAGGCCGCGCAGGACACCAGAGGGGACCACAGGGCACGGGAGGGTGGTGGAGCTACGCGCAACGGCTGGTCCAGATGTAGGATCAGCCAGAGCCACCGACACAGATGTGAGGAGTGGCGTAAGGGTCGTGTGGTCGCGGAAGAAGCACTGAGACGCGCCCGAGTCCAGCGTGAACGACAGAGAGGCCTCAGCCGGAGGGTCACCTGACCCAGTCGCTACACAAGCACCTAGAGCAGCAACACAAGCACCTAAGCTAGACAGGCACAAGGCTACACTAGCAGGAGGCAAGCAGGCTAAACTACGAACACGCGAGCACACAGATCCATCAGCACTAAAGTCAGCATCAACATACAAAGCATGCTGACGCGCATCGTCCATGGACAGATCAAAAACATCAATCTTACGGGCTAACAGACGAGACCAGCGAGGCGTGACCGCCAGAGGGCCCCAACGAGCCCGATAGAGGTCGTCGAGGCGGCGGAAGCACCGCGCGGCAGAGTGGTCGTCGCGACCACAGAGACAGGGGCTGCCCGGCCCGGTGAGGCACCAGTGGGTGCAGGGGCCAGCGTCACGGCGAGGGGGGCGAGGGGCCCAGCTGGAAGAGCTGCTGCTGCGGCCGGTGCTCCCAGGGCCTCCCAGACCCCACTGCGGCGGGGGACCCCAGTGCTGCTGCGGACCCCACTGCAGCGGGGGCCCCCACTGCTGGAACTGCTGCGGTGCCTGCTGCTACTGCTGTCCCTGCTGCTGCTGCTGTCCCTGCTGTGGCTGGTGCTGCTGTGGCTGCTGCTGCTGGGGGGCAACGCCCCCACTGGTCGGGCCACCACCTGTGGGTGGGCCTGTCTGTCCAGCGCCTCCTCCAAGGGCCCCTCCCCCTGGTGCACCACCGCCGCCGCCGCCGCCGCCTCCGCCACCACCGCCGCTCCCACCTCCACCGCCACCTCCACCGCCGCCTCCACCGCCCCCACCTCCCCCCTTCCCGCCCTTCTTGCCACTCTAGCCCCGTTTCTGCCAGTCTGCGGCAGAAACGGCAGCGGTGTCCTCAGAGACCGACACAGCAGCAGAAGCGCGGGTAGAGGTGAAAGTGGGAAGCTGAGGGGCGGCACACCCCGCAAAGAGACGGGGGGCCACCGCATCAGTGGCGGAGGCAACGGTGAGGAGGCTGCTCTCGATGGTCCCGAGAGCAGTCTGAAGGAGGTCTATAGTGAGCTCAGTGGGGTGCTTCTGAAGAAGCGCGTCGCGGGCAGTGGCAAGGGGGTCAGGGAGGCGGGTGACTAACCAGTGCACAGTGAGCCACATGGGGGGGGGAGCAACAAGGAGCTGTGCGTCGGTACAGGCAGCACGGAAACCGGCGTCAAGCGAGCGGAGGTGAGTCACTAGGTCGGAAACAGTCGCAAAGGAGCCTAGGTCGGGAAACACAAACGGCATGAGGAGGCGACTGAGGGAGGCAGAGGAGGGGGTGGAGTAGCGGGCAACAATAGCATCCCACACCCCCTGGGCTGTCTCCACCTGGTCAAAGTGGGCGGCCTCAGTCGGGGGGAGAAGCTCCGACAGTGTGAGAGCGGCGGCAGCGTCACGCGAGAGCCACACGTCCCTGGCCAGGACCCGACGGTCGTACTCCGCCTGGGCCGTAGGGGTCGGCTCCGGGGTGGTCGGCAGGGCGGCGGGGGACGGGGGGGCCTGTAGAGCACCAGACGCGTGAGCCCACAGAGTGGCGCCGTCCTGTCGCTGGCTGGTGAGGAAGCGCGTGGTCTGGCGTTGCCAGGTGCCGAACTCTATCGGGCGTCCCTCCGCGTCGAAACGGAGGCGACGGGACTCCATAATGGAAGACATGCTCGAGGCGGCTGGAGCACGGCGGAGGCTGAGCTAAGAACGAGGAGGACGGCTACTGAGGGCGAGAGACGCCAGCTGGAAAGCTACGAGTGAACCGATAGCGGAGGGAGCAAACGAGGTGAGGCGGAGAACGGCTAGGGACGCCAGGGACGGAGCGACTAGGAGCTAGGGAGGATTCGGCGCTACGGCTAGCTACCGGAGGTATGAGCGGCTGCCAGCCGCTGAGGTGAAGGCCAGTGACCGGGAGAATGGGGAGGGCCCGGGAAACAGGGCGGAGGAGGGGTGAAACTGGCCACGTGCCGAGGGTAGGTGCGGATCGGGCGGGCTAGGGTGGTTTTGACGGTGGGAATGGGCGGGAGGGCGGTTTTGACGGTGGGAACGGGCGGGAGGGCGGTTTTGACGGTGGGAATGGGCGGGAGGGCGGTTTTGACGGTGGGAATGGGGGGGGAGGGCGGTTTGACGGTGGGAAATGGGCGACGGGCAAGGGCTGGGGCGTGGGCGACGGTCTAGGGCTGGGGCGTGGGCGACGGGCTAGGCGCGGAGGGCGAGGGGCAGGGTGTACGGGCCGCGCGTGGGCAACGGGCAGGGCGCACGGGCTACGCGCGGTCTAGGGGCAGGGCGCACGGGCGTCGCGACGGGCCGGGGCAGAGCCTCCGGGCTACGCGCTGGCTAGGGGCAGGGCGCAGGGGCGCCGCGACGAGCTGGGGCAGCGCCTACGGGCTACGCGCTGGCTAGGGGCAGGGCGCACGGGCGCCGCGACGGGCTGGGGCAGAGCCTACGGGCGTCGCGCGGGCTAGGGGCAGGGCGCGGGCTAGGCGCGGAGGGTGCAGTGGCGGGGTTTAGGCGCGGAGGCACAAAGGGTGCGGAGGTGCGAGCTAAGCGCGGAGGGCGCGGAGGGCGCGGAGGGCGCGAGCTAGGCGCGGAGGGCGCGGAGGGTGAACACTAGGCTAGGAACGGGATAGGAACGGTCATGCTCGTGATACCATCTCAAGAGTGGTTAGCAACGGAATAGTTGGAATAGAATCGAATGGGGTACAAATAAGCAACCCTAGAAGCTGTACCACCTAGAGTGCAACTCACTACAGCCTATCATATCAATGTTCAACATTTGACAATCTGCATCGTACTGCTTTGCACCTACACTCCAGAGAGTTGTATTGTACATGGAAAATGCAGGAGCAGCTTGCTGTTTTAGAGTATTAATGAGACAGACCTTTTCTCCAGTGGTCCTCGGGATCCCAGGACATTAATAGCAGGTAGGTACTTCAGTTTGTAAACAGGCACGGTAGAGTACATTTAGCAACACAGCCAGCTTTCTGGCTGGCATGGCACGAGCCAACCATACAGAGCACCAGTATAATGTTACAGGTAAGATGTTACAGATGCTCACACACCTTGCGCCGTCAGATGGCTCTGCAGCAATCTCCCACAGGCTGCAGCACAGTTGGCTGGCAGTGCGAGAGTGATGTGCAACCGCCACAAACAGCAACCCTTGCCTCTCGTGCAGATCTGAAGTTTAATCAACATGGAGGGTCTCACCTCTTCTTCTCCCCTTCACACCTTCTCCTCCTTACCTCTTTTTCTCCCCGGTGGGAACCCAAGGAGGCAGAGGCGGGCACCCCTCAGGCCGAGAAATCGCACCCCCTGCCAGCCCCGGCACTCTCACCACCTTGCCTGCCCCTCCACCACACCCACCGCCACTACCACAGCTACTGCCACCGCCACCGCTACTGCCACTGCTACTGCCCCCGCTACTGACAGTGCCACTGCTGCTGCCACTCCCACCACCACTGCCACAGCTCGCACCACTCCCACACCCACCCACTGCACCCGATGCATCCCCTTCCGAGCTCCCTCCATTCAAATCCTTATCCGGCACAAAGCAGGGCGGATTTCCCCCAGGGAACGACGGGCACATGGCACTTGCCTTGGTCTCTGGCGGCGGCTGAAACGTGGCAGACTGCGGTGTGAGCAGCGAGCGAGAGGAGGAGTAGGAGGGAGAGGAGGTGGAGGTGGAGGAGGAGGAGGAGGCTTTGGCGGCGGTGGCAGTGAGGAAGGAGGAGGAGGCGGAGAGGGAGGAGAGGGAGTCGGAGGAGCGGATGAGTGGGCGGTCGAACTTGATTCGGAACTCCATGGTGGTGCGGCGCAGACACTCGATGGCAAAGGTGGATGGGTCGATTCGGACCGGCACCTCCCGGATGCGCGTCTGGTGTGGTGGGAAGAGGGTGGGGAGGTGCAGGTTTGTGAGGGGTTGTGAGGTACTTTGTGTTTGATTTTGAGAAATCTCAAAATCTACTTTGCTCAAGCCAACACTCGATGGCAAACGTGGCCGGGTCAATGCGCACAGGCACCTCCTGGATGCACGTCTGAAGTGGGTAGGAGGAGAGGGGAGGGGGAAAAGGGGGTGGGGGGAGTGGTGGTGGGGGGGGGGTTGAAATGGGGTTGCAATGGGAGTGGACTCAAAAGAAGGTGGATGGGTCGATGCGCATAAGCACCTCCCGGATCCACCCACACCTGCCCACATCCACCCACATCCACCCACACCTGCCCACATCCACCCACATCCACCCACACCTGCCCACATCCACCCACATCCACCCACACCTGCCCACATCCACCCACATCCACCCACACCTGCCCACATCCACCCACATCCACCCACACCTGCCCACATCCACCCACATCCACCCACACCTGCCCATATCCACCCACATCCACCCACACCTGCCCACATCCACCCACATCCACCCACACCTGCCCACATCCACCCACATCCACCCACACCTGCCCACATCCACCCATATCTACCCACACCTGCCCACATCCACCCACATCCACCCACACCTGCCCACATCCACCCACATCCACCCACACCTGCCCACATCCACCCACATCCACCCACACCTGCCCACATCCACCCACATCCACCCACACCTGCCCACACCTGCCCCACAACCGCACCTGCCAGTACACAAAGTAACCGCGCTCTGCCAGAATGTCCGCCAGCATTTGAGGCGCGCCTGGGTGTTGGGGACATGGGTAGAAGAGGCAAGGGGAGCGAGAACACACGTAGGAAGGATCGTGAGAAGATGCAATCAATGTACGCATTTCTCTGTATAGATAATTATTCCTGTGGGAAATTATTTTTCTAACCAGGCCTCCACTCCAGCAGCACTCATCTTGCGAGCACCAAACGAGTGGATGACACATGTTACAGGAGAAGGTACACACCACAGGAACTTGTTCTTGAGGAGATGAAGAGGAGGCAGCGTACCTGGGCGATAAAAAAACACGGGCAGTTCTGTGTTGAAGACGGCAAAGCCTGAGTCTATCCATGAGGCGCCTCATTCCTGAGGTGCGTCAAAAAGGAGATGATGAAGAGGCAGCGAACCTGGGCGGTCAAAGAACACGGGGAGTTCTGTGTTGAAAATGGCAAAGCCTGAGAGGGCGGAGCGGCGGATGATGGGGATGACCTGCGAGTCGATCACTGCGATTACCTGCAGAAAAAAACAAGAAATGCGGATGGGTGAGGATGGGTGCATGTGTAGGCCATATGGGTCCCAATGATGCCAATGACTTAGACTCCAGGGGCGGTTGGGTTGCGGTTGGGTCAGGGGGTACGGGGTGTGGCTTGAGGTTCGGGATAGAAGATGGGGCATCAAAGCGTTGGGACACATGGCGTGTAAGGAGACGACTTTTGAGACGTCTCAAAAGCGTTGGGATACATGGGGCAGCAAGACGAGGCACGACGGGACATGGTAGGGCAAAACGTTTGCATTGGCAGTGGTACCTCCTTGAAGGTAGCAGGGTCTTTCTGCTGGTAGCTATCGAGGCGAGTCACCATGTTCTGCCGCGCGTACTTGGCTATGTCCTGCCATGCATGGGGGGAGAGAGACACGGAGGTAAGGGAGGGGAGAGGGAGACGCGGAGACAGGGAAAAGGGGAAAGTTGTGGAGGAGAGGGGGGAGGGGGGAGAGAGCGGGGTCCTTCTGCTGGTAGCTGTCGAGGCGAGACACCATGTTCTGCCTCGCATACTTGGCTATGTCCTGCCAGGGAGGGGGGAGGGAGGTGTGGAAACAGGGAAAAGGGGAGGGGTGTGCCGGAGAGAGGCCAGGGTTGAGAACGGAGGGCCTTTCTGCTGGTAGCTGTCCAGGCGAGTGAGTCACCATGTTCTGTCCCGCCGCCCATGGGAGGGTGTGGGGGAGAGGTGGTGGAGTGAGGGGAAAAGGGGAGAGGTGATGTTTGTACTAGGGAACAGATGAATTGGATTACGGAGAGAGGGTAAGGGAGGAGTTGGAGTGTGTTTGGGAAAGTGGCAGCACAGGGGTGTGATGGATTAGGCGAGGTGCGGAGGGGTGAGAATGAGACTGAAAGCGTACCGAGGCGAGGGGGATGTGGCTGATGGCTCGGAACGTGGTTAGGTTGAGCTCCAACGCGCTCTGATACTGTAGCTCCTTCTCTATCTGCTCCCAACAGGGATGAGCAGAGAACAGCAGATCACAGCACAGCAAAGCAGAGCAGAATTGAGAAGGTAGAATGGGGAGGAAAGACATGAGAAGTGCGAAAAATGGGGGAGGGGAGGAGAAAATTCGAGAAACAAATTTGATGGCAGGTGGCGGAGCTGTCAAGAGAGGACAGGTGGGCTGCGGAGGCCTTAAAGTTAAGGCCTCCGATCTGATGGCAGGTGGCGTGGTAAAGTTAAGAACCACAAGCCTCTGAACCTGCAACTACTTCTCAAGTTGCAGTCAACATGGGATTGATGGTGGTGATGGGGGTGATGGGGGTGATGGGGGTGATGGGGGTGATGGAGGTGATGGGGGTGATGATGGGGGTGATGGGGGTGATGGGGGTGATGGGGGTGATGGGGGTGATGGGGGTGATGGGGGTGATGGGGGTGATGGGGGTGATGGGGGTGGTGATGGGGGTGATGGGGGTGATGGGGGTGGTGATGGGGGTGATGGGGGTGATGGGGGTGATGTGGGTGATGGGGGTGATGGGGGTGATGGGGGTGATGGGGGTGATGGGGGTGATGGGGGGTGATGGGGGGTGATGGGGGGTGATGGGGGGTGATGGGGGGTGATGGGGGTGATGGGGGTGATGGGGGGTGATGGGGGGTGATGGGGGGTGATGGGGGTGATGGGGGTGATGTGGGTGATGGGGGTGATGGGGGTGATGGGGGTGAGGGGGAGGGTGATGGGGGTGATGTGGGTGATGGGGGTGATGTGGGTGATGATGGGGGTGACGGGGGTGATGGGGGTGATGGGGGTGATGGGGGTGATGTGGGTGATGATGGGGGTGATGGGGGTGATGGGGATGGGGGTGATGGGGGTGATGGGGGTGATGGGGGTGATGAGGGTGATGGGGGTGATGGGGGTTGTGGGGGTGATGGGGGTGATGGGGGTGAGGGGGGTGATGGGGAGGGTGATGGGGGTGATGGGGGTGATGGGGGTTGTGGGGGTGATGGGGGTGATGGGGGTGATGTGGGTGATGGGGGTGATGGGGGTGATGGGGGTGATAGGGGTGATGGGGGTGATGGGGGTGATGGGGGTGATGGGGGTGATGGGGGTGATGGGGGTGATGGGGGTGAGGGGGGTGAGGGGGGTGAGGGGGGTGATGGGGGTGATGGGGGTGATAGGGGTGATGGGGGTGATGGGGGTGATGGGGGTGATGATGTGGGTGATGATGTGGGTGATGGGGGTGATGGGGGTGATGGGGGTGATGGGGGTGATAGGGTGATGGGGGTGATGGGGGTGATGGGGGTGATGGGGGTGATGGGGTGATGGGGGTGATGGGGGTGATGGGGGTGATGGGGGTGATGGGGGTGATGGGGGTGATGGGGGTGATGGGGGTGAGGGGGGTGAGGGGGGTGAGGGGGGTGATGGGGGTGATGGGGGTGATGGGGGTGATGGGGGTGATGGGGGTGATGGGGGTGATGGGGGTGATGGGGTTGTGGGGGTGATGGGGGTGATGGGGGTGAGGGGGGTGAGGGGGGTGATGGGGAGGGTGATGGGGGTGATGGGGGTGATGGGGGTGATGGGGGTGATGGGGGTGATGGGGGTGATGGGGGTTGTGGGGGTGATGGGGGTGATGGGGGTGAGGGGGGTGATGGGGAGGGTGATGGGGGTGATGGGGGTGATGGGGGTTGTGGGGGTGATGGGGGTGATGGGGTTGATGGGGGTGATGGTGTGATGGGGGTGATGGGGGTGATGGGGGTGATGGGGGTGATGGTGTGATGGGGGTGATGGGGGTGATGGGGGTGATGGTGTGATGGGGGTGATGGGGGTGATGGGGGGGTAATGGGGGTGATGGTGTGATGGGGGTGATGGGGGTGATGGGGGTGATGGTGTGATGGGGGTGATGGGGGTGATGGGGGTGATGGGGGTGATGGTGTGATGGGGTTGATGGGGGTGATGGGGGTGATGGGGGTGATGGGGGTGATGGGGGTGATGGGGGTGATGGGGGTGATGGGGGTGATGGGGGTGATGGGGGTGATGGGGGTGATGGGGTTGATGGGGGTGATGGGGGTGATGGGGGTGATGGGGTTGATGGGGGTGATGGGGTTGATGGGGGTGATGGGGGTGATGGGGGTGATGGGGGTGATGGGGGTGATGGGGGTGATGGGGGTGATGGGGGTGATGGGGGTGATGGGGGTGATGGGGGTGATGGGGGTGATGGGGTTGATGGGGGTGATGGGGGTGATGGGGGTGATGGGGGTGATGGGGTTGATGGGGGTGATGGGGTTGATGGGGGTGATGGGGGTGATGGGGGTGATGGGGGTGATGGGGGTGATGGGGTGATGGGGGTGATTGGGGTGATGGGGGTGATGGGGGTGATGGGGGTGATGGGGGTGATGGGGTTGATGGGTGTGATGGGGGTGACGGGGGTGACGGGGGTGATGGGGGTGAGGGGGGTGATGGGGAGGGTGATGGGGGTGATGGGGGTGATGGTGTGATGGGGATGATGGGGGTGATGGGGGTGATGGGGGTGATGGGGGTGATGGGGTTGATGGGGGTGATGGGGATGATGGGGGTGATGGGGGTGATGGGGGTGATGGGGGTGATGGGGGTGATGGGGGTGATGGGGTTGATGGGGGTGATGGGGGTGATGGTGTGATGGGGGTGATGGGGTGATGGGGGTGATGGGGGTGATGGGGGTGATGGGGGTGATGGTGGTGATGGGGGTGATGATGGGGGTGATGGGGGTGATGGGGTTGATGGGGGTGATGGGGGTGATGGTGTGATGGGGGTGATGGGGATGATGGGGGTGATGGGGGTGATGGTGTGATGGGGGTGATGGGGGTGATGGGGGTGATGGGGGTGATGGGGGTGATGGGGGTGATGGTGTGATGGGGGTGATGGGGGTGATGGGGGTGATGGGGGTGATGGGGGTGATGGGGGTGATGGGGGTGATGGGGGTGATGGGGGTGATGGGGGTGATGGGGTGATGGGGGTGATGGTGGTGATGGGGGTGATGATGGGGGTGATGGGGGTGATGGGGGTGATGGGGGTGATGGTGTGATGGGGGTGATGGGGGTGATGGGGGTGATGGTGTGATGGGGGTGATGGGGGTGATGGGGGTGATGGGGGTGATGGGGGTGATGGGGGTAAAAGGGGTGATGGGGGTGATGGGGGTGATGGGGGTGATGGTGTGATGGGGGTGATGGGGGTGATGGGGGTGATGGGGGTGATGGGGGTGATGGTGGTGATGGGGGTGATGATGGGGGTGATGGGGGTGATGGGGGTGATGGGGGTGATGGTGTGATGGGGGTGATGGGGGTGATGGGGGTGATGGGGGTGATGGTGTGATGGGGGTGATGGGGGTGATGGGGGTGATGGGGGTGATGGGGGTGATGGGGGTGATGGGGGTGATGGGGGTGAACGCAGCTTGACAAAAAGAAATCGTTCTTGGGCCATGCTTATGCCCATGCCCCAGCCCATACCCAAGCCCATACCCAAGCCCATGCCCACGCCCATGCCCACGCCCATGCCCATGCCCATGCCCATGCCCATGTCCGTGCCCATGCCCATGCCCATGTCCGTGCCTATGCCCATGCCCATGCCCATGCCCTCCCACCTGCCCTCCCACCCGCCCTCACATACTCACCTGCTCCCTGCACTCAGCGAGAGTCCCCATGCCGTCTATGAGGTGGAAGGGGAAGAAGGCTTTGAGGCGCAGCAGCGCACCCTCTTCATGACTACCCTCGCACCTCCCACTTACTCTCCCAACTCTCTTCAAACACGCACCTGCTCTCTGCACTCTGCGAGTGTGCCCATGCCGTCAATGAGGTGGAAGGGGAAGAAGGCCTTCAGGCATCCCCATGCCTCCCTCCCCCACCCAACTCACCTGCCCTCACCTTCCCTCACCTGCTCTCTGCACTCGGCCAGTGTGCCCATGCCGTCGATGAGGTGGAAGGGGAAGAAGGCCTTGAGGCGCAGCAGCGCACCCCCATGCCTACCCTCCCTCCCACCCCCCACCTACCCTCCCACCTGCCTTGAAATACGCACCTGCTCTCTGCACTCTGCGAGTGTGCCCATGCCGTCGATGAGGTGGAAGGGGAAGAAGGCCTTGAGGCGCAGCAGCGCACCCCCATGCCTACCCTCCCTCCCACCCCCCACCTACCCTCCCACCTGCCTTGAAATACGCACCTGCTCTCTGCACTCTGCGAGTGTGCCCATGCCGTCGATGAGGTGGAAGGGGAAGAAGGCCTTGAGGCGCAGCAGAGTGTCGTAGTGCTGGCGGAATATGTGGTAGCGGCGGCGCGCTGACTTCTCACTGAGGGGAAAAGGAGGGGAGGGAGAGAAGGCAGGGAAGGGAGAGGAGACACATTGAAAGTTGAAAGTATGGAGAGGGGGTGAGAAGGCCTTGAGGCTCAGCAGCGTGTCGTAGTGCTGGCGGAATATGTGGTAGCGACGCCGCGCTGACTTCTCACTGTAAGGGCAGGTGAGGGGAGGGAGAGGAGACACGTTGACAGTTAAGGAAAGGAAAGAAGGCCTTGAGGCTCAGCAGCGTGTCGTAGTGCTGGCGGAATATGTGGTAGCGGCTTCGCGCTGACTTCTCACTAAAGGGGGAAGTGAGGGAAGGGAGGGGAGGGAAGGGAAGGGAGGGTAGAAAGGGGAGGGAGAGAAGGGAGAAAATACACGATGTAAGTTGAAGGGAGGAGAGGGGTGAGAGGGCATATGGGCGCAGCAATGTGTCGTAGTGCTGGCGGAATATGTGGTAGCGACGTCGTGCTGACTTCTCACTGTGGGGAGGGGAGAGGAGGGAGGGGCGGGAGGGGAGGGAGGGGAGAGAGGGGAGGAAGGGGAGGGAGGGGAGAGAGGGGAGGGATGGGAAGGAGGGAAGGGAGAGAAGGGAGAGGGTGAGAGAAGGCAGAGAAGGGAGATAAGGAGAGAATGGCCGGCGTGCCCCTCAACACCCTCAGCACACGCATGTATGCATGTGTGCTAGATAGCCGCTCTGCCCCTCGAAATTCTCACGTGCGCATCAATACCTCTTTGACTCCTCTCACCACAGGTCCGTTGCTCTGACTTCCTGCAGCTCCCCTATCCCACTGTCCACCACGCGCCGGTTGTGCGCTCTTTCATGCACCATGCACCATGCACCATGCACCATGCACCATGCACCATGCACCATGCGCCATGCACCATGCGCCATGCACCATGCACCATGCACCATGCACCATGCACCATGCACCATGCACCATGCACCATGCACCATGCACCATGCGCCATGCACCATGCGCCATGCACCATGCACCATGCACCATGCACCATGCACCATGCACCATGCACCATGCACCATGCACCATGCGCCATGCGCCATGCACCATGCACCATGCACCATGCACCATGCGCCATGCGCCATGCACCATGCACCATGCACCATGCACCATGCGCCATGCACCATGCACCATGCATGCTCACCACAAGTCAGTCGCCCGCACTTCCTGCAGATCCCCAATCCCGCTGTCCACCACCCGCTGGTTGTGCTGAATGGCCGCCCTGCCCCGTGCCAGCTGCCGCCGCACACTCTCCTCCTCCTCCACGTACCTGCCATGATAACAGGATGAGGCGCGAAGGGAAGGAGGGAAGCGAAAGGGACAGGGGGACATATTATAAGCTGTTCTGCCCTGCCCCGTGCCAGCTGCCGTCTCACACTCTCCTCCTCCTCCACGTACCTGCCATGATAACAGGATGAGGCGCGAAGGGAAGGAGGGAAGCGAAAGGGACAGGGGGACATATTATAAGCTGTTCTGCCCTGCCCCGTGCCAGCTGCCGTCTCACACTCTCCTCCTCCTCCACGTACCTGCAGGAGAGGGAGGGGCGAGGGGAGCGGAGAGGGGAGGGGAGAGGGGGGGGGAAGAGGGATGATTCTATGGAAGAAGACAGGTGGAAGCGAGGAGTGGCAATGCCTTAGCACTCAACTGCAAGCTCAGATATCATGTCAAGGAGAGTCGAGGAGAGTCAAGGAGAGTCAAGGAGAGTCAAGGAGAGTATCCAGACAGTCAAGGAGCCCGGGTTACCGGGTATATGTAAGTTGGGCTTACAGCACGGCAATGCGGAAGATGGGTCGGGGGAACTGTGCTTCCAGGGGCGTGTTGAGGTACTTTTTATGCAGCTCCATTAACCTGGGTGGTGGGATGGGGAGCGAGGGAGGTGGAAACGGGGAGAGGAGAGGAAGAGCAGCTGCGAGTGAGAAGGCAACTCACGTCCACCGAGGCAAGCACTGGATTGGGGAACTGTGCTTCCAGGGGCGTGCAGAGCAGCGATCTATGAGTCGCTTCAACAACCACCTGTCTGTCATAGGTACACCTCTCACAGAGCAGCAAATTGACCACACCTGTGGCGGATCTCACCTGTCGTAGAGCATTTTAATGAAGTCAACCTGCACGGTGGTGCGTGATTCGACACACGTCCCACAACGTCACCTGTCGCCACTTTGCACTGCACTGCACCGCACCTGTCACAGACTGCACCGCACTGCACCACTTCGCATTGCACCGCACCGCACCGCACCTGTCGTAGAGCATCTTGATGAAGTCCACCTGCACGGTGGTGCGTGGAAAGCCGTCCACCACAGCGCCCGCCACTTTCGACTGCACCTAACGCCACTTTGCACCGCACTGCACCTGATGCCATGTTGCACTGCACCACTGTGCACCGCACCTCACCGCACCTGTCGTAGAGCATCTTGATGAAGTCCACCTGCACGGTGGTGCGTGGAAAGCCATCCACCACAGCGCCCGCCACTTTGCCGCCCGCCTCGGGATTCGCCACCACCTCGCCGTGATCCGCGTCCTGTAGCATGGCTGGCGTGTTGCCCAATGTTAGAATTCGCTGGGGGGGGGGCGAGGGTGGAGGGAGACAGGGAGAGAGACGGAGAGGAAAGAGGGGGGGAGGTGAGGATTCGCCACCACCTCGCCGTGATCCGCGTCCTGTAGCATGGCTGGCGTGTTGCCGAGAGTCAGGATGCGCTGGGGGCCCGAAGGGGTGGGAGAGAGAAGAGGGAGAGAGGTTGCGGACGCTGAGGCCAGAGGAAAACAGGTGAGGACGCTGATAGGATTCGCCACCACCTCGCCGTGATCCGCGTCCTGTAGCATGGCTGGCGTGTTGCCCAATGTTAGGATTCGCTGATGGGAGAGGGGCAGGGGAGGGAGAGGTCGGGATTCACATGGCGAGACGAAGGGGAAACGGGGTTAGTATTCGCTGGGGCCAGAGGGAGCAGGCTGAGAGGGTGGGGATTCAGAGACAAACAAACGCATCCGAACCAGGACGAAGGCACCTGAAGGCTCACCTGAAGCACCTGACTGACAGCCTACCGGTTCCATCTGAGAGTTCACCTGAAGCACCTGACGGCTCACCTGCAGCACGATCTGCAGCACCATGGAGTCGGAGACTAGCCCCCCGCTCCTCATGATGATTCACCTGAACCACTTGACGGCTCACCTGGGGCACCTGACGGCTCACCTGAAGCACGATCTGCAGCACCATGGAGTCTGATACGAGCCCGCCGCTTCTCATGATGGCCGCCACGTCCTCGTTGCCGCCCAGCAGGTCGCTCACTTGGATGGCGCGCGCTGCACGCAGTGAGCGAGTGTGGGAAGTGAAGGAGGGACGGAGGGAGTGAGTGAGTGCGTGCCGCCCAGCAGGTCGCTCACTTGTATGGCACGCGCTGCATGTAGAGAGTGAGTGTGAGTGAGTGAGTGAGTGAGTGAGTGAGGTAGACGCAGAGAGGAATTGATAAGACTTTCAAAAGAATCTGGGGCACGAGCACCCACTCCCCTTCAGCCACCCACTCCCCTTCAGCCCACCCACTCCCCTTCACCACACAGCACCACACCACATCACTCACCTTCGAATCCGCGCGTGCGGAGGATGAAGGGCGTGTTAGCGCCCTTCCCCGCGCCAGGCGCGCCGTTGAGCCACACGATCTCCTTGGGCGGCGACAGCTGCTTTGAGACACACCCCTCTCTACCGCACCAAACCGCACCAAACCCACCCCCCTACCTTCGAATCCGCGCGTGCGCAGGATGAAGGGCGTATTGGCGCCCTTCCCGGCGCCGGGCGCGCCGTTGAGCCACACGATCTCCTTGGGCGGTGACAGATGCTCCTCGCCGCCCGCCGCTATCACCCCCTGCCATGCCTCCTCGAACGCGCTCCGAGATTCCATCGAAATCTGCACACAGAGGAAACGGGGGGGAAAGGAGAAAGGGGGAATGGGTGGAAAGGGAACGAAGATGGATTGGGAGAGGGAAGCGCTGGAAAAAGGTGTATACTGGGCGCTTCAGAACCCCCTGCCCACCTAAAAAGCTTCACCTCACCTCCAGAGCCTCACCCGGACTATCCACCTCACCTTCTCAGCCTCACTTCCCCAGCCTCACCTCTAGAGCCTCCACGTCGCCCTCCTTCAGCCTCTCGTCCAGCGATCGCTGCGACGGATGCCCGATGTCCATCGCCAGACGGTCCATCTGCACCGTTGGATTGCCCGAATCCACCGTCGGATGGCCCGTCTCTCCTTCAGTCTCTCGTCCAACGTCCACTGCCGCTTCGCCCAACACCAGCGACGCGGACGAAGCGTTGGAATCGGCGCGCTGCTCGCCGAGAATGTCGCTGTGGCTGCTACGATGGATCTCGCCGTCATTATCGCCGTGAAACACGGTCGTCGCGCCGACCTCTTCCACTGCTGATTCGCCGCCAGCTTGCTCCGAGATCGGATCTGCCGATGTCGCTAGCTGCGCGTCTGCTGATTTCGCACGCTGCGCGACCTCAGATCCGGCCTGCTGATGGAGTTGTGCGACGTGTGCGATGCTTTGGGCGAAATGGATGCGACTAACAGCGACGGGGTCGTGCGAGAGAGCAATGGTTCCTCTGCATCGCAGATTTGATCCTGGTTGGCATAACTGACCACCGTGTCCGAGCTTGGAACGCTGAGGTTTTCCGAGAGCATCAGGCGACGAAACGCGGGTCGCAACGGCGGAAGTGTTTAGATGACGAGCGGTTTCAATCGGTAACGAGTCAGAATAGCCGTGACGTAGGACAGTAAGGGGTTCAGTGAGGCGAAAGGCAGGAAGAGCGAGACGCGAGGCTGTGAGAGATACGAGCCTCCGTCGACTGACGGACAGCGCGGCGCGAGGCATTCTGACGGATCTCTAACGAACCTCCGATACGGAAAGCGGAGAAGACGGTTTTCAGTGGGCTTCACTGATCAGTCCAAACACGCATCCCAACGAACAGTACTCCGACACTCTGTCTTCGAACTGAATTTCACAACCGCATCATTCCTCATAGACAATGGAAAACCATATGGCTAGCTTGTTTTCAGAAGCTGGAAACCAAGTGCAAGCACAGCTTCTCTGCCAGAGAGTGGAGTGATGAGCAGAGGGGGGAGGCGGAAACCTAGGCAATGTCGTGGCGAATGCTTGAATTCCTGAATGGCTGGGAAAGTAGGAGATCCCCAAGGTGTACGGATTTTTGCTCAGTGGCCTAGCTACGAAAAATCGGAAATTCAAGTCCCACCTGACTTGAGAGCCAGGATTCGAAACGGGCGACGTAATTGGTCAAGGGCTAGCATCAGCAAGCCCATGATTGGGCCTCCAAATGACGCAACACTGGAAAAGAGCCAACCACGTAACAATGAAAATACTCGCTAGGAATATCCTCGATTTCTATCTCGCCAGGAGGAATCAGATGCCTTGTTTGCTCTGCGAAGGCAGGTTTGGTGTACTGTAGATACTGAATCAAAGCTCCACGGTGTCCACGCATGTGGGCCCGCATCTAGGATGGAAGTGCAACAGTCTCCGTTACAAAACCTTCGTCCTCGCCAAGTTCGCCCTTCCAACGATGGAGTTCGCCATCCATTCAACAGCCCCCAAATTCCGCCGTCCGCAGCCAGCCCGTTGGAGCAGCAGCCCCGCCCTCTCACGCTGCGCTCCGCAAAACTCCCGAATCTGCGTCCGTGTGTCAGGCTTTTTGGGGGAGCGCAACAACAAGCCCGCGGATATTCTAGCATATCCTTGCCGGAACCGTTAGCCTTGACGTTTGTGGCGACAGTAGAGATCGCAAAAGTTTATCGTCCGAGAAGAAGACTGCTTGGTACATACAAGCGAAACAACCATTGCGTCGCCAGTGCCATTTCGCTTGTCGCACCCGCTTTTCGTCACTTGGCCGTTTGTTGGAAATCATGCGCGCTCGCGGAAATTCGCGGGCGAATCTTGTCGGCGGTGCTTCCTCCTCCGCCGCTTGGCCCACCTCGGGATTGGTTGGGATAACTCTGGACTAAAGCTGAACCATTCCTGTGACGGCCCAGCGGAAACTGGGAGAAGCCAGACACACAACAGAATCCAACCACTTCGAAACCATTTCAACCGCGTCATATAGCCATCATTTGTTGGTCAATCCCCAACTTGGGCAAACCAACATGCGGAACTCGTTTTGTGCGCCAACCCACCACCATCCCCCAATTCACTCTTCGCCTGCATTCCTTTCCGTCTCGTCTTGCTGCTCAGCTACGACGACATTTTCTTCTTCCTCGGGACTATCCATGGCGGCTAGCTTCGTTGTCGCTGGCTACAAGTTTTATCTTCCTCGCAACGATTAGCTTCCCGTATAGACCGCTTCTCTAGTACTCGCTCACCGCGTTTTCCTCGGGAGCGGTTTCTGGCGGGGTTGAGTCTTCTCCGTGCTGTCGATACGGCGATGAAGCAATGATATCCAGATAGTTATTTCGACAAGGTTAGTCTTCCAGTTCGGTGATACTTCTCTGCCAGCGTCATTTTCTCGTGGAGATAAATTTTCATCCTATCAGGGTTCTCATTTCGCGTTCGAACCTCTCAGATGCTCATTTCCCGATGCACTTGCTGTCTCGCCCACGCCAGATGCACCTGCGCTACCGAACACGTTCTGTCGTGGTGACGCGATTAATCATCCTCATGCCGTCGTTGCCTCGTCGTGTTCTGCGAATGCTGAGGTACGACTTGCTTGAAATGGAGATTCTCCTGTTGCTTCTTTCATCCCTACGACTCGTCATACACTTTCTCTCTGCCTGCCTCTGAGTTGCGTTCGATGCATTCGATCTGAGCCTCGTTAGTGTCACTTTCGAAAACATCACCTCCGTTATTGCCGCGCTGCCTGCGTTCAGATACCACTGACAACGCTATCGGGGCAGCATGATCGGAATCGTCCGCGTGTCGTCGCACGGCGAAACCGTCGTCCGCGTGTCGTACTACGGCGAAATCGTTGGCCGCGCGTCGTCGCACGGCGAAACCGTCGCCTGCGCGTCGTCGCACGGCGGAATCGTTGTCCGCGCGTCGTCGCACCGCGAAACCGTCGTCCGCGCGTCGTCGCACGGCGGAATCGTCGTCCGCGCGTCGTCGAACGGCGAAATCGTCGTCCGCGCGTCGTCGCACGGCAGAATCGTCGTCCGCGCGTCGTCGCACGGCGGAATCGTCGTCCGCGCGTCGTCGCACGGCGGAATCGTCGTCCGCGCGTCGTGTCGTCCGCGCGTCGTCACACGGTGAAATCGTCGTCCGCGCGTCGTCGCACGGCGAAATCGTCGTCGTCCGCGATTGGTCGCATGGCGAAGGTTGCAAGGATGTGCCTCCCGTTGGCATGGGATAGCTGCGGCAGCAGCAGCAGCTCTCGGTGCTTCTTCAACCGCCAGCTAAGTGCCTTCTCCTCCCTCCACTCTCTTGCTTCCATGTCATGCTTGCACCATGCATTACACTCCCTTTTCACTGCTCTTTGTCACACCCATTAGACCTCCCTCCCCCAAGGTAGTAGGTATCTTTTTTCTTGGTACAGCCTCAGGTATTCGTTTTAGTTTGGTTCAGCTGGTACGAGGTCTCTTGGGTGTGCCGCTGCAGCAGTCCATCATGCATGCATCATTCTTACGCTTGCTGCACTCTTTGTTCTCACTTCACTCCTCTCGTCTTAGCTTCTCTCCTCATTGCTGCTCCCCCTTCACTCCCCCATTTTCCTCCCCCCCTCCTCCCTTCCTCTCTCTGTCCTGATCCGCCCCCTCTCGTCCCAGCAGGTCGCTCACACGGGAGTGGCAGTGGCGGGGGACATGGAGTGCACAGGCAGCAGCTGCTCTCCATCCAACCCACCCACAGCTAAGTACCCCGCCCTTCCTCTCTTCTCCCAACCTTCGCACTGTGTTGCTTCTCTTGTCATGCTTGCACCATGCATTACACTCCCTTTTCACTGCTCTTTGTCACACCCCTGCTCTTTGTCACACCCATGAGACCTCCCTCCCCCAAGGTAGTAGTTATCTTTTTCTTGGTACAGCCTCAGGTATTCTTTTCAGTTTGGTTCAGCTGGTACGAGGTCTCTTGGGTGTGCCACTGCAGCAGTCCATTCATGCACGCATCATGCTTGCGCTTGCCGCACTCTTCACTTTCACTTGTCTTGGCTTCTTTCCTCCCCTGCTCTCCCCACTCCTCTGCCCCCCCTTCACTCCCCCTTTTTCCTCCCCCCCTCCTCCCTTCCTGTCTCTGTCCCAATCTTCCGCCTTCTGGTCCCAGCAGGTCGCTCACACGGGAGTGGCAGTGGAGGGGACATGGAGTGCACAGGCAGCAGCTGCTCTCCACCCAACTCACCCACAGCTAAGTACCCCGCCCTTCCTCTCTTCTCCCAACCCTCGCAGTGTGTTGCTTTGCTTGTAATGCTTGCACCATGCATTCCACTCCCTTTTTCACTGCTCTTTGTCACACCCATGAGACCTCCCTCCCCCAAGGTAGTAGGTATCTTTTTCTTGGTACAGCCTCAGGTATTATTTTTAGTTTGGTTCAGCTGGTACTAGGTCTCTTGGGTGTGCCACTGCAGCAGTCCATTCATGCACGCATTATTCTTGCACTTGCTGCACTCTTCGCTCTCACTTCACTCTTTGCTTCTTTCCTAACTGCTCTCTTTACTCCTCTGCCCCCCCTTCACCCCCCCGTTTTCCTCCCCCCCCTCCTCCCTTCCTCTCTCTGTCCCGATCTTCCCCCTTCTGGTCCCAGCAGGTCGCTCACACGGGAGTGGCAGTGGAGGGGACATGGAGTGCACAGGCAGCAGCTGCTCTCCATTCAACTAACCCACAGCTAAGTACCCCGCCCTTCCTCTCTTCTCCCAACCCTCGCGCTGTGTTGCTTTGCTTGTCATGCTTGCACCCTGCATTACACTCCCTTTTTCACTGCT